ATTTATTTGTACTTCATTTTGTACCAAGTTGTCCTTCACCTTGAAACACTTTTTCTTTCACGATTGCACAATACCTGAGATTTGTTGTCCTTCACCTTGAAACATTTTCTTTCACGATTGCACAATACCTGAGATTTATTAGTGCTCTACACCCGCTGCATTGATAAGCCTCAACCAGCCTATGTGAGGTATACAGACATGTTCCTTCAGTGATGGTATAAGTCATTTGCTAAATATAGACCTGGACTCATCTAGATAAGACTGTCACATCTACTGCTATTTGGGTCAAAAAGTGGACCGGTTTCAATATCACTGGGGATAAATAATTGTACTCAAGGCTCCAGGTCATATTTTGAGATACTGAGTTTTTTCTCAAATGTTATCATTCACATTGGGTATTGACAGTTTTCTTTGGGCATTCAGTATTTGTTTACATGTGCAGTCATTTGGATATTTTAAGACCAATGAGTAGACTTTCTTCTTAAATTCATGCTATGGCTCAACAAAGATCTGAGGACACCTCATTACGTTTCACATCAGAACAAATTTTCTTTTGTTAAGTTTTGAAATTTTAATCGAGAATGTTGTCAAAATAGTTTTCAAAGCCTGGTCTGGAATGGAAGTCGCCAGTTTGAAACTAGTGCCATAAAGCTGGAGAAAGCTGCTTTCTGATTGACTTCTTTTTAGTCATTTTATTGGTCGGTCACAGTTCGAAAAGGTCATACTGATGTGACCTGTAATTGATGTCCTCAGATCTACTTGTAGCAGAGACCCGTGAAGACCCGAGATAGAATAGGTCTTCAGCAACCATGCTTGCCGTAAAAGGCAACTATGCTTGTCGTAAAAGGCAACTAACGGGATTGGTCAGGCTAGCTGACTTGGTTATGCATGTCATCGTATCCCAATAACACGGCCCTTGAAGATCCGGCGTAGAACAGGTCTTCAGCAATCCATGCTATCCCAATTGCATGGATCGATGCTCATGATGTCAATCACCGGATTGTCTGGTCCAGACTTGGATTATAACAGACCGCCATCATATAGCTTGAATATTGCTGAGTGCGGAGTTAAACAACAAACAACAAACAAACAATCATTATTTGCAACCAAAAATATTAAACATGTTGAGGTATGGTTGAACTATGTTACAAAGTAAAACTAACAATATCGAGAAAAAGCTAATACCAAATATCTAGACTATTAATTTACATGTCTTTAGTAAAATTTGATTGAGTCAAAGGTTTGTTTTTGGAGATGTTAAGTAAAATGTCCCTCCAATATCTTAAAAAATGTCTTTGTAACATATTTATTTACACTGTAAACAAAATGTCAGTTAAGTCAAGCATGACAAAACAATATCCCCACATGTTTACGATAAATACCGGTATGTATGCACTTTGAGCCCTACCCAAACTGACTCATGAACATTTCATTTGTTTTTTTTGTGATTGAATTACCAGGCAGTGCAGCAATCCTTTCATTTAGACGAATGTATCACTACAATACCCGTGTCATGGTCCTAAAATAGTATCAGAGTCACTCAGAGACTCATTTCAGTCAACAGAACAAGACTAGTATATCCAAATTATCCCATATATGTTCCTGATAACACCTAGAGGCTTCACACGCATTGTCCCTGTATGGCTCTGTCTGATATCTCCCTGCCTTATCAGTATGCATGCCTGTTGCCATATATGGTGCTAGGGAGCTGTTCGTGTGTAGTGCATGCGTACATTCACAGAGTGATACAGTTATTCTACCCCGGGTCTTCACGGGTCTTCTGGGATTGTCTGGTCCAGACTTGATTATTTACAAACCGCCGTCATGTTGCTGGCATATTGCTGAGTGTAGCATTAAACAACAAACAAGCAAACAAACAAAAGAACCCAGAATAGATGTAATCTTTGTTTTGTTATCATTTCGACACTAGTTGTCATTGTCCATTTCATTCATTATTGAACATTAAAGACAAGCTTGAGATCTGCAGAATTTCTGCAGAATTTCAATTATTCAGATGCAGACTTTGCCTGTTTCCAGTTTGTGTTGAAGGTAATGATTATCAGTCCAGCTTATCTTTGTCTTGAACACACAATTTGTGACATGAACCTGAATTCATTGGCTGGGAAAGTTATGAGATTTAAAACCAGAATCCAAGGGATAAAACCGAGGACGTAAGAGGGTTTAAAATCTCACAAAAAACAGAGGGTAGGAGTTTTATTTAACTTATTAACCGAAAAAAGAAACTTAAAACAACATTTATCAACATTTTTATGTTTCAAAAATACTTTCCTCGAACCTTAGGAAAGAGGCGTAAAATCTGTTTTGCTGGCGTACAGTTACTTTAAAAAGACATCTCAAAAGCATTGTGAATTATCAGCGCCTCTGTAGCCAAGTGGTACACTCACTGGGCTGCAGATGCACGGGAATATAACGAAAACATTTGTTATTTGCCTTTACATTTCATCACATTCTGTTCAAAGGCGAAATACATTTCTAGCAAGAAACATTCATATGTTACAATATAAACAGAAGATGTATTAATTAAATCCCTGGGATATTAGACCCGTGGAGATTCCGGGGTAGAATAGGTCTTCAGCAACCCATGCTTGCCGTAAAAGGTGACTATGCTTGTCGACTAACGGGATCAGGTGGTCAGACTCGCTGACCTGGTTGATGCATGTCTTCAATCCCAATTGCGTGGATCGAAGCTCATGACATTAATCACTGGATTGTCTGGTCCAGACTTGATTATTTACAGACCGCCGTCATATAGCTGGAATATTGCTGAGTGCGGCGTTAAACAACCAACCAACCAACCAACCAACCTGGGATATTATAACATATTATATGTAGGGCGGTCGGGTAGCCTAGTGGTTAAAGCGTTCGCTCGTCACGCCGAAGACCCGGGTTCGATTCCCGACATGGGTACAATGTGTGAAGCCCATTTCTGGTGTCCCCCGCCGTGATATTGCTGGTATATTGCTAAAAGCGGCGTAAAACCACACTCACTCACTCACATATTATATAGCAAATGTCCCGGGGATATTATAACATCCCTGTTATTGAGATTTAACCCGACTGGAGAACAACTGTGTGACGTCACTGGAGGCTTATAAGTGTTGTGATGTCATCCACTAAAGTCCCTCCATAAAGACTTGAAGACAAGCTATACGAATTCAGCCATTCTTTGTTGGCATTATACTAATGTGTAAGTTCATGATATCATTGAAGATAATAGATTCACCAACATGTAACATATCTTTATTCATCAGGGCCCCGTTCCACAAAGCGATCGTAGAGCTATGACTGTCGTAAGCCTATGCTAAAGGATGGGAGTTACAATCATCTTAGCGCTACGTTGTGACCTAAATTGCAGGGCCCCGTTCCACAAAGCGATCGTAGAGCTATGACTGTCGTAAGCCTATGCTAAAGGATGGGAGTTACGATCATCTTAGCGCTACAAAGCGATCGTAGCGCTAAGGTGATCGTAACTCCCATCATTTAACATTGACTTACGACAGTCACAGGGTTACGATCGCTTCGTGGAACGGGGCCCCTGCAAATTTAGGTCACATTGTTTAAACGTCAGGGTCATGAGATTGTAGGTCGGCAATGATATTGGACCACAGTACTACGATAGGACAATGTGATGAGTCAGTAACAGGGTCTGGGGACAGTACACGAGAAAGTACTGTAGCTCTGATTTATGTGAGGGAATTGGATTGAACAATAACTTAAATATCCATTTAAAATAAATAATGGATCAAATTAATTGAAGGGGATCGTTAGGCAAGGCTCCTGTTGCACAAACCTGTCTTAGTGCTAAGATGGTTGTAACTTGCCTACTAGGGCTGGGACGGGTAACTCGGGTACCCGGGTCGGGTGGGTACTGAGTAGGACCTGGGTACCCACAGGACTACCCGGACCCACGATTAGTCACGTGATATCTTGAACTATATGGTTACACTACAAGTCACTAATGTTCGCATTTCTTTCTGACTATGCACCATTCCTTCTGATTTTTTATATGGTTGAATAAAGATATAACATAATTCAACTTCAGTGTATGAATGACCAGATGTTTATTACGTGTATCTAAATACGATTTGCCAGGGCTTTGTTAGAAATGTTCCCCATCAGACATTTTAAGACACCTCCCGAGACCTACAGTGGGTACCCGGGTAGGTTCGGGTAATAGGGAGTTGGGTACCCGGGTAGTAAATTTGGACTCGTCCCAGCCCTATTACATATTTTAACAAAGACATTTGATGAGATTGTTTGTGAAAAGGGGGGCTCTGATATTATTTCTTGTTTTGTGGGGACCTATTCTTAAGGACAGCAGTGCTGTCATAAGTGTTCAAATTATGATGGAACATTGCTGCTATTTGATGTCCACAAGCAGGAAGGTTTGAAAATGTGATTTCCATTATCATCACTCACCCTATGCCAGCCCCTGTATAATCTACCACTTTCTGTGATCTCTCCATAAAGCTGCTCTCTCTAAAGCATCCTCTCTCTATACCAGCCTCTGTACACTCTGCCACTTTCTGTGATCTCTCCATGAAGCTGCTCTCTCTAAAGCATCCTCTCTCTATACCAGCCTCTGTATACTCTGCCACTTTCTGTGATCTCTCCATGAAGCTGCTCTCTCTAAAGCATCCTCTCTCTATACCAGCCTCTGTATAATCTGCCACTTTCTGTGATCTCTCCATTAAGTTGCTCTCTCTAAAGCATCCTCTCTCTATACCAGCATATCTATAATCAGGCAATGTCAACATTACAAGTTGATGTTCATGATTGTCAATCCCTGTGCAGCCAGATCTACCAGATGGTCAAGGTCTCAGCTCTTCAATGACAACCTTGCTGTCCAATGTTCATAGAGTGTGTGACAATTCTTTTTAAAACAATCATAGCCATAGAAGTGAACCTGAAACTGGCTGACCTCATTTGCATGTTTATGAAAATAGGACCTATCGTTCACAATGTTTTTTTCTTTGCAGAGATGAAGAGAAAAATACAAAATCAGCGACATTTGGGGAAATGGTCAGTATGTCTACTTTCAATAATTACAGTCACACCCATAAATTGTCATAGTAACCTGTTCCTGACAACCATTCCCCATGAAAATTCTTCTTCTTTGTGCATCTACTATGTGGTGCTGCAGGTTTAGTGCTGCAGAGGTAGTGTTGCGGATGTAGTGCTGCAGGTGTTGTGCTGCAGGTGTAATGCTGCAGGTGTAGTGCTTCAGGTGTAGGGCTGCAAGTGTAGTGCTGCAGGTTAAATGCTGCAAGTGTAGTGCTGCAGGTTTACTACTGCAGGTTTAGTGCTGCAGGTTTAGTGCTGCAGGTGTAGTGCTGCATGTTTAGTGCTGCAGGTGTTGTTGCAGGTGTGGTGCTGCAGGTGTTATGCTGCAGGTGTAGTGCTTCAGGTGTAGTGTTGCAGGTTTAGTGCTGCAAGTGTAGTGCTGCATGTTTAGTGCTGCATGTTTAGTGCTGCATGTTTAGTGCTGCAGGTGAAGTGCTGCAGGTGTAGTGCTGCAGGTGAAGTGCTGCAGGTGTAGTGCTGCAGGTGAAGTGCTGCAGGTGTAGTGCTGCAGGTGTTGTGTTGCAGGTGTAGTGTTGCAGGTGTGGTGCTGCAGGTGTTATGCTGCAGGTGTAGTGCTTCAGGTGTGGTGTTGCAGGTTTGTGCTGCAGGTGTAGTGCTTCAGGTATGGTGTTGCAGGTGTAGTGCTGCAGGTGTTATGCTGCAGGTGTAGTGCTTCAGGTGTGGTGTTGCAGGTTTGTGCTGCAGGTGTGGTGCTGCAGGTGTTGTGTTGCAGGTGTGGTGCTGTAGGTGAAGTACTGCAGGTGTGGTGTTGCAGGTGAAGTGCTGCAGGTGTGGCGTTGCAGGTGTAGTGCTGCAGGTGTAGTGCTGCAGGTGTGCTGTTGCAGGTGTAGTGTTGCAGGTGTAGTGCTGCAGGTGTGGTGTTGCAGGTGTGGTGCTGTAGGTGAAGTGCTGCAAGTGTGGTGCTGCAGGTGTTGTGTTGCAGGTGTGGTGCTGTAGGTGAAGTACTGCAGGTGTGGTGTTGCAGGTGTAGTGCTGCAGGTGTGGTGCTGCAGGTGTTGTGTTGCAGGTGTGGTGCTGTAGGTGAAGTGCTGCAAGTGAAGTGCTGCAGGTGTAGTGTTTCAGGTGTAGTGTTGCATGTTTAGTACTGCAGGTGTAGTGTTGCAGGTGTAGTGCTGCAAGTGAAGTGCTGCAGGTGAAGTGTTGCATGTTTAGTACTGCAGGATTAGTGCTGCACGTAAAGTGCTGCAGGTGAAGTGCTGCAAGTGAAGTGCTGCAGGTGTAGTGTTGCATGTTTAGTACTGCAGGTGTAGTGCTGCAAGTGAAGTGCTGCAGGTGTAGTGTTGCATGTTTAGTGCTGCAGGATTAGTGCTGCAAGTAAAGTGCTGCAGGTTTTGTGCTGCAGGTGTAGTGCTGCAGGTGTAGTGTTGCAGGTGTAGTCAGTCAGACTTTGAAAAACAATCTTCCCTGGGGCCCTTTGTACAAATCATCTTTTACGCTAACATGATCTCAACTCCCTTATTTTGACACAAAGTTATGACAGTCGTAGCGCTAAGAGCCGGGCCCAGAGCCACAAACTTCAAACTGTACGAATTCTAAAATACAGATAGGATTCAATTGCTATCAATAAAACAAGTTAATCTTCATTTGGCTTGAAGTATTTGTTTGTGCTGCAGTTCCAGTTTGCAACATGCCTGGACGTTTTCTTCATGTTTGTCGGTACGCTGTCGGCCATGGTACACGGAGCTGGCTGGCCACTTCTCTCCATTGTGTTCGGCGACATGACCAATGATTTCATCGGGACTGGTGAGTAGAATTAATGTCATCATGAACACATTGTGTTTGGCGACATGACCAATGATTTCATCGGGACTGGTGAGTAGAATTAATGTGATCATGAACACATTGTGTTTGGCGACATGACCAATGATTTCATCGGGACTGGTGAGTAGAATTAATGTCATCATGAACACATTGTGGTAGGGGAGACTATCAAAGGCCTTTTTTGCTCACCCGACTGAAAATGAAGTGAGCCAATGTCCTGGCCGATTTGTCTGTTGTCTTCTGTTACATCCAGTAAGCTTCTCCTCTGAAGTCCCCACAGAGGGAGCTCAGCTTTTGTATGTTTCTCCTCAGTTTGTTCAAATCATTAAATTCCATCTTAAGTGTTTTCCTCAGTATAAAAGGAGAAAATATTTGAATATCAATACTAACAGTAAACGTTTGTTAAGTGGCTTTGTTTGTACTATTGTAATAGTTTTCTGATAGTTAAAACACTATTATGATGCCATATCAATATTGGAACAACAATTGAAACAGAGTTGCAACAGGTTTATTTGTGCATGTCCCACACCACACCACACCACACCACACCACACCACACCACACCACACTAGCCAAACACCAGCCCACAACAGCACACCAGCAAACACCACACCTCACCACACTAGCCCACACCAGCCCACACAGCACACCACACACCACACCACACCACACCACACCACACACCACACCACACCACACCACACCACACCACACCACACCACACACCACACACCACACCACGCCACGCCACGCCACGCCACGCCACCCCACCCCACCCCACCCCACCCCACCCCACCCCACACCACACCACACCACACCACACCACACCACACCAGCCCACACTGGCCCACACACCACACCACACCACACCACACTACACCACACCACACCACACCACACCACACCACACCACACCACACCACACCACACCACACTAGCCCACACTAGCCCACACACCACACCACACCACACCACCACACCACACCACACCACACCACACCACACCACACCACACCACACTAGCCCACACTAGCCCACACACCACACCACACCACACCACACCACACACCACACCACACCACACCACACCACACCACACCACACCACACCACACCACACCACACCACACCACACCACACCACACCAAACCACACCACACCACACCACACCACACCACACCACACCACATCCATCTCCTCTTCATATTACAAATGAGGACTGAAAGTGACAATATTTTCAGTGTGTAATTTAAATTCCCCCCAGGTAATGCCTCAATGCCGGATATGAATGGTACAGCCGGTAACTGGACACCACCTCCAATTGACTTTGAAGAACAGATGACCCAGTATTCACTGTACTATATTTATATTGGGGTAGGAGTCATGGTCGCTTCATACATGCAGGTAAGAGATTTATTTCAAATTTTGTTAATGTTTTAATTATATTACAAATTGAGCACTGTCACATTTAGATGGTATTCGTCAAAAAAGTGTTTATGTGAAAATCTTGCACGTAGTTGATACACGATTCAATGAATCATGGCATTTACCATCAAGGAGGACATATTAAAGCATTTTTTTGCAAATGTTGTTATTTCTGATGACTTCTGACATTATTCATTGAAGATTGATTTTTTACCTCTAAGTTTATTTGAAACTGAATGCAATAATGTTAGGTTCAAATTTTATATCGAGATATATCAAATCCAGAATGATACTCTAAGGAATTATATAATCAGAATCAAGTATTCTCCTATTTAAGTTATGGGGTGATGTTCATTATCAAAGGTTAATAATGGCATAGACATAAGTAGTATTTAAATTGTCTTGTATGACCAGGTGTCATTCTGGACCATGTCCTGTGAACGTCAGACATACAAGCTGAGAAAGGCGTTCTTCAAAGCTGTTCTGAGACAAGAGATTGGCTGGTTTGATGAACATCAAAGTGGCGAATTGACCACACGACTTGCAGAGTAAGTTGCTGATTTGTCCAAAACATACAGAGAGGTGGATCCAGAGTGGGGTCAAGAGGGGTCCAAGAGGGATGGTCCAAAAGGAGGGAGGTTTTATTAATAGATGAGGGTCAAGAGGAAAAATCAAGGGTGGGGTATCCTTATGGATGTCCAAAGGATCCAAAAGATGGTCCAGACAGGAAGTCTAGATTTGGGCCAATGTTGGCGGAATGTTGACATGCTGATATTGGGCCAACATTGAGTCAACATTCAGTCAACATTGTATATTAACTTCTATAATCTTATATTTATATTTTATTTATAAATACTTATTTAAATTACAAACTACCAATTACATCAACACTCTTTCCTTTTCTTTGTGTATCCAAGTAACATTATATATTTATTTCTCACTATTTTGTAGTTCTCATGTTTCACTGCAACCCCGTAGACAGCAAACTTTATTTGTATTTTTCTTTTTTCAATACATTCTATATAAATAATCACAAATTGGCCTTCCATAAGCACATTTGTTGTAAGAGAGCATGTAAACCCAGATCTCTTTTCTTAATGCAAATCTTTTTTATGTGTATTGAAATAAGTGATTGCCACAAGCAATGTGATAATTCCAGGATTTATTTGATAAAGTAACTTTTTATTACATAATGTTACTTAAGTACTGGCATCCTAAATACCCGCTGCTCTGTGTTGCGGGTGACCAGGGAAGAAAAGGTCTTCAGCAACCCATGCTTGCCGTAAAAGGCGACTAAGGGGATCGGGTGGTCAGGCTCACTGACGTGGTTGATGCATGTCATCGATCCCAATTGCGTGGATTGGTGCTCATGATGACAATCACTTGATTGTCTGGTCCAGACTCTATTATTAACAGACCGCTGTCATATAGCTGGAATATTGCTGAGTATGGTGTTAAACAACAAACTAACCAAACAACTGTGTTGCAGGTTACACACAACCAAATGTTTTCCCATAGACTTCCATAGTAACATTTTATTTTAAAAAAAATTAACTTAGCATTCAACAGCTATTACCTGTACGTGTGTGCACAGTTTAGCCTTAGAGCAGCAATACAAAAAAAAAAAATGACTAGTTTAGCCAGCTCCTTTTCCGAGTACAGGAAGCTAAACACACCACCCCCAGTTCCGCGCCAAATGTCACCAACTTGAAAATAGCTGTGGTCACATTCTCCATATGTCATCATGTTGAAAAAGACAGCACTAAATATAGAAAGAAAATTGGTTCCCTACGAAAACTGCCCCACGAAAACGAAAACAGAAACCACCCTACGAAAACAGCACAGTCCCAACAGGTTCTCATTTGGTGTTGCAGAACCTGCAGCTGAATGCATTTAACAGCTAGAGTTGCCTCCCTTGTAGTTATTACTATTTACATTGACCATGCATGCAAGTGAATACATTATTAAGACACGAGGCAACAGCTGCAAAATGAAAAGGAATTTTAACATACATAGCATTCAATTTGGATGTATTTGTAATCAATTTAATGAAAATTATTTAGTAATTGTGTGTCACTATATGAATGTTTGCAATTAACATGTCTGTATCAATGCATGTATAGACAGTATTTGTTTAAGATATTCCTCAAATAAACCTGAGTTTAATGTATTTGAAATATTTTTTAATCTGAGAATATTTTGTGATTATTCACATCCCATGGAATTAAATAATTATTCCATATCAATTGGGTATTTCGAAAAAAGATCAAACGGCAAAGGGTAAATAGATATAACAGAAATTAAATTCATCTAATTAAAGGGAATTATGAAAACAATATATAGTGGGTGTTAATAGGGAGGGTCTAGAGTGAGGGTCAAGGTAGGGTGTCCAGAGTGGGTGACTATAGGGAGGGTCCAGAGTGGGTTCCCAAAGGGTCCAGAGAGAGGGTCAAGGTGGGGTGTCCAGAGTGGCTGTCTATAGGTGGGTCCAGAAGGGTTCCCAAAGGGTCCAGAGGGAGGGTCAAGGTGGGGTGTCCAGAGTGGCTGTCTGTAGGGAGGGTCCAGAAGGGTTCCCAAAGGGTCCAGAGGGAGGGTCAAGGTGGGGTGTCCAGAGTGGCTGTCTGTAGGGAGGGTCCAGAAGGGTTCCCAAAGGGTCCAGTGAGAGGGTCAAGGTGGGGTGTCCAGAGTGGCTGTCTGTAGGGAGGGTCCAGAAGGGTTCCCAAAGGGTCCAGAGGGAGGGTCAAGGTGGGGTGTCCAGAGTGGCTGTCTGTAGGGAGGGTCCAGAGAGAGGGTCAAGGCAGGGTGTCCAGAGAGGCTGTCTGTAGGAGGGTCCAGAAGGGTTCCCAAAGGGTCCAGAGGGAGGGTCAAGGTGGGGTGTCCAGAGTGGCTGTCTGTAGGGAGGGTCCAGAGAGAGGGTCAAGGCAGGGTGTCCAGAGTGGCTGTCTGTAGGGAGGGTCCAGAAGGGATGCCCAGAGAGTCCAAACTGGGTACTCCAAAGGTCCAGAAGGATGATCCAGAACGGCAACAATGTTGCAGGCAATATTAAAAACTAAATTGTCACTGTGATTTTTATTTCAGTGATCTGGAGAAATTAAAAGAAGGTATTGGAGATAAGTTCAGCTTGTGCGTTCAGTTTTTCTCTGCGTTCATCTCGGGATTTGTCATCGGCTTTATATATGGATGGAAGTTGACGCTGGTGATGATGTCACTGACTCCTGTGCTTGCCATAGCAGGTGCATTCATGTCCAAGGTAAGGATTCTAACAACTGACAGTATGAGTAAATGCTTTCTTTGTTTGTGTGTTTGTTGTTTAACGTCGCTCTCAGCAATATTCAAGCTATATGACAGCGGTCTGTAAATAATCGAGTCTGGACCAGACAATCCAGTGATTGACATCATGAGCATCGATCCACGCAATTGGGATCACATGCATCAACCAAGTCAGCTAGTCTGACCACTCGATCCCGTTAGTTGCCTCTTGTGACAAGCATAGACGCCTTTTACAGAAAACATTGGTTGCTGAAGACCTATTCTACTCCGGATCTTCACAGGTCGACAGCATATGCAATAGATTTCAACCAAAATTGCATGTGTTACCAGTGCTGCATTTTCAGCTCATGAAGCACCCCCCTGTTATTAGCTTCCACACCCTCAGGCTCAGGGCAGATGTAGGAGACTTCTCACCCGATATACTTCCTCCTTTAATACCCCTGGGGAATTTTTCTGACATATAATTGGATGACCTTGAAGTTTTTTACCAACCATGGCTTGACGAAGGCATGGCCTGTTGCTCAAGATCTTTCCACTATCTGTCCATTGTCCACCTGTTAAACTTCTACTTGTGGATGAATGGAATTTAATTCATAAATAAGCTGGTGACCAACATTGCCTTGACACTAATGTTTATGCTTCTTAGTTATTTCATAGTTATTGTATTTTCTTTGTTTTGCCTACTGCATTTTGACATATAGACATAAATATAAATAAAACAAAAATAAAATTGATCTAGCAATAGTTGTATGACCTGACCATTTGACTGATGATGTTGCACACATCCAATTAATCAGGAGTGCAACAGTGCCTGACAGATTGTCAAGCAGCCACAATCTGCAGCAAGGCAATGTTCCCAAGAGCATTCAGAACACACCAGAACCAATATCTTAAATTTTAAATATTATTTAAAAAAAATAATTCTGTAAACAGGAACTGAGTGTCTCATTGTTCTATTTCAGGCCATTGCATCATTTTCAAAACGAGAACAAGAGAAGTATGCCGAGGCAGGGAGCGTGGCAGAGGAAGTGCTGTCCTGTGTCCGAACGGTCATCTCATTTAATGGACAAAAGCAAGAGATAACAAGGTTTGCAATAATAACCATAACTGAATTTGAACTCATCCTCGATTATCTAGGGTATTATGTCTCCATCTTTACTGTGCCAAAAAAGTAGGGGATAGTGGGAGGGTCAAGGTGAGGTGAGGTGAAATGGTGATATTGCACTTATATAGCGACGTGCATGTACGTGTGTGTGTGTGGCTGCTTGTACTAGGCCGGACTGATGCCGATTTATAGTGCAAGCTCACTGAGATACCATGCCACAGTTTAACATGAAAACCCCACTCAGACACAGTATACTGACTCCAAGCCGACCAGTCTTTGTTTTAGGCCCTTAATGCCGAGCGCCAGACAGGGTAACAACAAGTACCATCTTTTAACGTCTTTTGGTGTGACGCGGTCGGGGATCGAACCCCGGACCTTCCGCTCTCCGGTCGGACGCTCTACCATTAAACCACAGAGGCGGTCTGGGAGGGTCAAGACGTATCTCTTGATCTACATAGTATTGGCAAATGGAAATGATATGGTCATATCTGCTGGGGAGTAGGCGATCAGACCTAGTGGATTCTAATGGCTGGTGTGATGGTGTGGCACTAGGTCTTTAAAGAGGCAGGGATCAAATTTGAAATGCTGTTGCTTCCTAAATGATTAAAAGTGTTTAACAAAGCGCCTTTGAGCATTTGGTTCCAAGAAAACAATATGCATCTGCTCATAACCGAGAATGATCTTGTGTGATTGTACCTTCGTGGTATTTACAGGTACTCCAGTGCCCTTGAGGACAGTAAAAAGCTTGGTATACGGAAGGCTGGCATCACTGGTGTTGGTATGGGCATCACGCTGTTTGTCATGTTTTCAGCCTACGCTCTGGCATTTTGGTAAGAATGTGTTTCTTTATTGCCTCCATTCCATGGCATGATAGGTCCCCAGTACCCCATGCTTGTCTCCCTGTGAGTATTCCCATCAGAATAGGTCCCCAGTACCCCATGCTTGTCTCCCTGTGAGTATTCCCATTAGAATAGGTCCCCAGTACCCCATGCTTGTCTCCCTGTGAGTATTCCCATCAGAATAGGTCCCCAGTACCCCATGCTTGTCTCCCTGTGAGTATTCCCATCAGAATAGGTCCCCAGTACCCCATGCTTGTCTCCCTGTGAGTATTCCCAGAAGAATAGGTCCCCAGTACCCCATGCTTGTCTCCCTGTGAGTATTCCCAGAAGAATAGGTCCCCAGTACCCCATGCTTGTCTCCCTGTGAGTATTCCCATCAGAATAAGTACCCAGTACCCCATGCTTGTCTCCCTGTGAGTATTCCCAGATGAATAGGCCCCCAGGACCCCATGCTTGTCTCCCTGTGAGTATTCCCAGAAGAATAGGCCCCCAGTACCCCATGCTTGTCTCCCTGTGAGTATTCCCAGAAGAATAGGACCCCAGTACCCCATGCTTGTCTCCCTGTGAGTATTCCCAGCACGATAGGCCCCCAGTACCCCATGCTTGTGTCCCTGTGAGTATTCCCATCAGAATAGGTCCCCAGTACCCCATGCTTGTCTCCCTGTGAGTATTCCCAGCAGAATAGGTCCCCAGTACCCCATGCTTGTCTCCCTGTGAGTATTCCCAGCACGATAGGTCCCCAGTACCCCATGCTTGTCTCCCTGTGGGTATACCCAGGAGAATAGGCACCCAGTACCCCATGCTTGTCTCCCTGTGAGTATTCCCAGCACGATAGGTCCCCAGTACCCCTTGCTTGTCTCCCTGTGAGTATTCCCAGCAGAATAGGTCCCCAGTACCCCATGCTTGTCTCCCTGTGAGTATTCCCAGCACGATAGGTCCCCAGTACCTCATGCTTGTCTCCCTGTGAGTATTCCCATCAGAATAGGTCCCCAGTACCCCATGCTTGTCTCCCTGTGAGTATTCCCATCAGAATAGGCCCCCAGTACCCCATGCTTGTCTCCCTGTGGGTATACCCAGCAGAATAGGTCCCCAGTACCCCATGCTTGTCTCCCTGTGAGTATTCCCATCAGAATAGGTCCCCAGTACCCCATGCTTGTCTCCCTGTGAGTATTCCCATCAGAATAGGACCCCAGTACCTGATGCTTGTCTCCCTGTGAGTATTCCCAGCAGAATAGGTCCCCAGTACCCCATGCTTGTCTCCCTGTGAGTATTCCCAGCAGAATAGGCCCCCAGTACCCCATGCTTGTCTCCCTGTGAGTATTCCCAGCACGATAGGTCCCCAGTACCCCATGCTTGTCTCCCTGTGAGTATTCCCAGCACGATAGGTCCCCAGTACCCCATGCTTGTCTCCCTGTGAGTATTCCCAGCAGAATAGGCACCCAGTACCTGATGCTTGTCTCCCTGTGAGTATTACCAATAGAATAGGTCCCCAGTACCCCATGCTTGTGTCCCTGTGGGTTTTCCCAGCAGAATAGGCACCCAGTACCCCATGCTTGTCTCCCTGTGGGTATACCCAGCAGAATAGGTCCCCAGTACCCCATGTTTGTCTCCCTGTGGGTTTTCCCAGCAGAATAGGTACCAAGTGCCACATTGTCTTCCTGTAAAATGTGCTCACTAAAATGAGGTTCAGGTTGTTACGATTATATTCTGCGACAAAACAAGCCATCATTTTATTGCAATACATGTGTAAGGTGATTATGTTTCAGGTTTGGCTCGACTCAGGTGGCAGAGTGGCAGCAATCCAACATGCAGGAGGGACTGTCTCCGGGCATTGTCTTCACTGTGAGTGCTTGTACTTTATTACAAAATTAATTAAAACAATAGTAAATGGAATTTTGAATTAAATTTATGAAATAAGTTACAAACATAAGTTCAGATATACAATGAACACTTTTTATAACCAGACAGTGTAATTACATGATTAATTTGTGTACTTCAGTATGCATTTGTTGACGTGGTATTTCCGGTGTCACGTGCTCATGGTAATGCCTTTGCGTTGGGGGAAAAAACATCAAAATTCATTATGGCGTGTTTGATGCGCACCCCCTTCTTTTGGGGAAAAAAATGTGCACTATACTCAAGAAGATACGGTAAGTGACTGACCATTTGATGTTCTGGGGTGAGACTGTGATTTTTATACCCATGACTTAAAATTATATTCCATCTGTCCTTCGAGGGACATTTTTTGTGTGTGACCTATAGCTTGAAAACTACGTCAGTGCGAAGATTGATTTCAATATCTGGATTTGTTGTTAAAATACAGCTTTTTTTTTGCTTTTTTTTAACTTATAATTTATTACTCAAACATTGTGCAACCTATAACTTGAAAACTACTGCATGGATTCCTTTCTAATTTAAGGATCGGTTTCCATACTATTAGAAAAGGTGCAGTGCAAAGTTTGATTTTGATGTGTATTTTCTGAAAAAAATAATTTCTTCATTTTTTTAACTATAATATTTCATGTATTAGTTCCAGAGAATCGAGGACTGTCATCAGGGCCCACGTGATCAAAGCGATCTTAGCGCTAAGATGATCGTAACTCCCATACTTTAACATAGGCTTACGATAGTCTTAGCGCTAAGATCGCTTTGTGCAAGTGGGCCCAGGTAATAAATATTTAAATAAAGAATCATTGTTATTTATCAGATAGTTGGTGTATACAATCATATATACATGTGTTTGCAGGTGTTTTTCTGTGTCATGATTGGCTCCTTCTCCATTGGCAACGCAACCCCACATGCCAGTGCCATAGCAACCGCCAAAGGAGCAGCTTCTGCTGTTGTAGAAATCCTCAAGAATGTATGTCCATCCATCCATCCATCCATCAATCCATCAATCTATCCATCAATCCATCCTTATTTTCCATCCATCATTCCATCCCAGGCCTCCAACTTGCGACTAAAACGGAAGCCAATGCGACCTAAATTTCAATTTGTCTACTGTCTAAAATTCAGAGGTAGCTAAATGACTACCAAGAAAAATATCTTGTGGCAACTAAATTCTATTGCTACACATCTGTAGACACAAAAATAAATAACAGCTGATATTGGAAAACACGTCTGCTAATAATTGTACTCGCAAATAATTCCTTCTAAAGTCGACAATGAACCAAAATACATAAAAATTAATGTAATTAGTACTTTATTTTAGTTGACAATGCTCATTGGATAAGCGAGGATATACCTATATAATCTAGCAACATAAATTGCATCGTTCAAGTCACAAGTAACGAAATTCAAGTACAGTTTCCATTAAGATACAATTTCAAGACTAGTGCTGTAACTTGTACATATTATAATAGTTATTTGATAAAGATAATTTCAAATGCTTTTGGCTACCAAGAATATTGGCTTGACTTCTTGATTTTACCACTGGCTACCTGGTAAAAATGTAAACTTTGAGGCCTGCATCCATCCATCCTCAATGGTCATCCTTACCATCATCCATCCTTACTGTTATCCATCGCTACTATCCATCCAGACCGCCTCCGTGGTCAAGTGGTAGAGCGTCCCCCCGGAGAGCGGAAGGTCCGGGGTTCGATCCCCGACCGCGTCATACCAAAAGACATTAAAAGATGGTACTTGTTGTTACCCTGTCTGGCCCTCGGCATTAAGGGGCTAAAACAAGGACTGGTCGGCTCGGAGTCAGTATACTGTGTCTGAGTGGGGTATTCATGTTAAACTGTAGCATGGTATCTCAGTGAGCTAGCACTATAAATCGGCATAAGTCCGGACTAGTACAAGCAGCCACACAAACACACACACGTACAGCACGTCACTATATAAGTGCAATAATCTTGGACGCGACGTTAAACCCCATTTCTCCTCACCTCACCTTCACTATCCATCCATCCTTATTGTCCATCCATTCTTTCCATCCATCCTCAATGGCCTAACATCTACCTGTTACATTTACCTCTCTTTCTGACATCTACCTATAACATTTACCTCTCTACATGACATCTACCTGTTACATTTACCTCTCTATGTGACATCTACCTGTTACATTTACCTCTCTACGTGACATCTACCTGTTACATTTACCTCTCTTTCTGACATCTACCTGTTACATTTACCTCTCTACGTGACATCTACCTGTTACATTTACCTCTCTATGTGACATCTACCTGTTACATTTACCTCTCTTTCTGACATCTACCTGTTACATTTACCTCTCTACGTGACATCTACCTGTTACATTTACCTCTCTACATGACATCTACCTGTTACATTTACCTCTCTACGTGACATCTACCTGTTACATTTACCTCTCTACGTGACATCTACCTGTTACATTTACCTCTCTATGTGACATCTACCTGTTACATTTACCTCTCTTTCTGACATCTACCTGTTACATTTACCTCTCTACGTGACATCTACCTGTTACATTTACCTCTCTACGTGACATCTACCTGTTACCTTTACAATTCAATGTGACATCTACCTGTTACATTTACAATTCAATGTGACATCTACCTGTTACATTTACAATACAATGTGACATCTACCTGTTACATTTACAATACAATGTGACATCTACCTGTTACATTTACAATTCAATGTGACATCTACCTGTTACATTTACAATACAATAATTGTGTACCTGACATATCTCTGTTGCAGGTACCGTCAATCGATGCCTCCGCTGATGCTGGGATTCGACTTCAGTCAGTCAAAGGGCTCATGGAGTTCCGAAATGTGGAGTTTTCCTACCCAACCAGGAAAGAAGTGAAGGTAGGCAACCGATTCATGTGCCAGAAACTATTTGTACTCATTTTGTTTACTCCTTTGATAGCGTTGCATATGTACACTTAACAGGGAGAGCAACAAAAAATACTATCAACCTATTTTTCATAAATCCAAAAATGTCAATGATTTTACGACAGCCTTGACAATATGTGTCAAGTAAAGATCAAAAACCAAACTTGTGGGGGCATATTTATCCATTCTTCCTTTCTTCCATCCTTCATCCATCTGTAACTTACGACCTTGTATTGCAGGTGATGAAGAACTTCAACCTGACGGTTCAGCCCGGGCAGACCGTGGCCCTCGTTGGCGCCAGTGGGTGTGGCAAGTCTACCACAGTCAACCTCATTCAGAGGTTCTATGACCCAGATTCAGGAAATGTAGGTCAAATATATGTCATCATGATCATGTTAGCTTGTACAGAATTCCTTGTAGGTAAATTCCAAACAATGGTACCAAAGTAACAAATTATCATTTGAATTTTCGGTCAGTAATTCCTTGGAAGGTACCAGGCATTCGAGACACTGTATTCCTAATGCCAATTTTCGGTCAGTAATTCCTTGGAAGGTACCAGGCATTTGAGACACTGTATTCCTAATGCCAATTTTCGGTCAGTAATTCCTTGGAAGGTACCAGGCATTCTAGACACTGTATTCCTAATGCCAATTTTCGGTCAGTAATTCCTTGGAAGGTACCAGGCATTCGAGACACTGTATTCCTAATGCCAATTTTCGGTCAGTAATTCCTTAGAAGGTACCAGGCATTCGAGACACTGTATTCGTAATGCCAATTTTCGGTCAGTAATTCCTTGGAAGGTACCAGGCATTTGAGACACTGTATTCCTAATGCCAATTTTCGGTCAGTAATTCCTTGGAAGGTACCAGGCATTCGAGACACTGTATTCCTAATGCCAATTTTCGGTCAGTAATTCCTTGGAAGGTACCAGGCATTCGAGACACTGTATTCCTAATGCCAATTTTCGGTCAGTAATTCCTTGTAAGGTACCAGGCATTTGAGACACTGTATTCGTAATGCCAATTTTCGGTCAGTAATTCCTTGGAAGGTACCAGGCATTTGAGACACTGTATTCGTAATGCCAATTTTCGGTCAGTAATTCCTTGGAAGGTACCAGGCATTTGAGACACTGTATTCCTTATGCTATAAATTTTCTTAAGAGAAATGTGTTTAGTGTGAAAGTATGTATCATCCATCTGCAAAAAGCATTGATTAATCTTTATTTTTAAAAAATCATTTATCTCACTCTCTTACAATATAACTGCAATTTGCCATGAAGAGTTGCATCCCTTAGGCGTGCCAGGATAATATGATAATTTATTTGAACCCCAGATTCACCTTTATCCTGATTCTTTATTTGTCAGATTCATACCCATTCTCATTTGTTTCATCAAATGTTGTAAACTCCTATGATCTGCTTCACTGCTGCCTTTCCTACTACATCAATCTGAATCTCTGGTATAACTGGAACACTCCATTTAACCCAACTCACTCACTTACACAGGTGTACCTGGATAACACCAACTTGAAGGAACTGAACATCCCCTGGCTCAGACAAAATATCGGCATCGTGTCACAGGAACCAATTCTGTTTGGCTGCACTATCAGGGAGAATATTCTCCTCGGCAACCCTGATGCAACTGAGGCAGACATCATGAAGGCATCAAAGCAGGCTAACGCTCACGACTACATCACCAAACTACCCCAGGTGAGTCCTGATCACACAAGCAGCACCAGCAGCAGCTTGGAGTTTCTCTTCCCCTTATAGCAATGGTGGGGTGGGGTTGGGTAGCCTAGTGGGTAAAGCATTGGCTTGCCATGCCGAAGACCCGGGTTCAATTCCCAACATGGGTGCAATGTGTAAAGCCCATTTTCTGGTGTCCCCTGCCCTGATATTGCTGGATTATTGCTAAAAGCAGCATAAAACCATACCGTATATGACTGCAGAAAAGCCGAATTTTGAGGACCAGAAAAAAGATAGAAAGGTGTCGGCTTATCCACGGGATATACTTTCATGATAGTATTTTTCAGATCGTGATCCGACAGAAACATCGCCTGAATGACGGTCCGATAGATTACAACCCGAAAGTTTGGAATAAAGTTAAAATTATCAATAAAGTTATTATTATACACCAATATTGTCATTATTAAAAAAATGTTATGCATATTACCACATGCATAGTAAATGTAGTAATTCAGAGGTGAATTTAAGGAAAGTAAATGGTGGTAAAATGAAATAGAAAATAACTCGGCCACAAACTGTTAAATAAGTTTGAGCAAAGTGACTGGGAAGGTACTGGTATGATATGTTTATTTTTTATACATTTATTTAATTTGTAAACTTATACAAAATCATCCTGGGGGCCTGGGTTCATCTCGGTACTCAAGAGGCAACTCAGTGGAGGTCCAGACACAGTTTCCTACTTACTGACTTGGAATATTGCTGACTACGGTGTTTTGTTTGTTTGCTGCACTCAGCATTATTGCACTTATATGGGGGCGGTCGGGTAGCCCAGTGGTTAAAGCGTTTGCTAGTCATGCCAAAGACCCGGGTTTGATTCCCGACATGGGTACAATGTGTGAAGCCCATTTCTGGTGTCCTCCGCTGTGATATTGCTGGAATATTGCTAAAAGCGGCGTAAAACCATACTCACTTATTCACTCCACTTCTATGATTGCAGCCTGTAAATAACAGAGTCTGGACCAGACAATCCAGTGATCGATATTGTGAGCTAATATCAATGTTGTATGATGACACACAATCAAACAAGTCACCAAATCTGACCACAGGTTCCACTTATCACCCACCGCCGTCATAGAGCTGGAATATTGCTGAGTGCGGTGTAAAACATCAAACAAACCAACTTATCACCCCAACGTGACCAGCACATGGAAACCCCACATGTGGACAGCATTGCAACACAAGCAAACAGATTTCATAAGGCTTTGAATAATTATTTGACTTGTTTTATCAAGAAGGCTTCCTTTATCTTTGCAAAAGTGAAAAATAAAATGAAATGAAAATATTTGTATTTGAAACATTTTCTTGAAAGAATGTTTCTTGAACTTATGTCTCGCTTATTTAGCTATTTTATCTCAATTCAACCCTAGTACAGTTCTGTAGTACCCTTTCAGTGAACCCTTCAGCAATATGTACTTACTCTTGTATACCATGACACATTTTCTTGTAGTCGGTTTTAACCGTCACATAATAGTTCGTAGACAATCAAAGTAGGTTTTAAAGTACTTTGCTCAAACTTGCTAAGCTGCCAGTTGGTTCAAGCCTAATCATCCTTGAGTATCCTGTCTATCATATCTTAATTCTTTCAATACCCTGGGCTTGTACACTGTCATAGCTTCATTTTCAGCCTGGTTTGAATAACACACTGCTATATAATTCTGTCCTATGAAATAAATCTCATGAGCGAGAGAACTTCTTTGCTAAGTTAGGGATAAGAGGAGATGCAGATAGTGACCATTCATCACCTCTCGCCCCATTCTGTAACCTGCAAGAAGACTCATCCCCAAATCGATGAATGTTATGTGCGAAACTATGACAAAACAATCAGAATGCGCATATGACTTCATGTAGTTTGGTCAAAGGATCCCTCAGGAACGATTTTTGATTTTACATATGTATTCCATTTAAAAATATACCCAAGATACGGTTAAATATGTTCCGTCATATGATTTGTTTTCAATAGCATCTGGAATATATATGATATATGGGGGAATATTCGTGAATCATTGCGCAATGAGTTGACAATTCTTTTGGCTATGCCCGTTTGCGTTTAGAGTCACAGTAACAAAAATGGCCACGAGAGGGGCACGAGTTGCTAATCGGCTTGTCCCGGATTAACACAAGTTGGTCACGATTGAATAGTGACATCACTTCCGAGACAATGTTGTGGCGGCAAATGGGTCAAGGGTATTAATCATCATCGAAAGAAGTTATATTTAGCATTAGTACCCTGGATACTTGAGGATGTAACCCAGCCAGAAATCACCATGCTATGTTTTAATAGTTGAGGTGTTACAGAACTATGCTTGTTTCAGGGTTACGATACCCTGGTTGGAGAGCGGGGAGCTCAGCTATCTGGAGGACAGAAACAGAGGGTGGCCATCGCCCGCGCCCTGGTCCGCGACCCCAAGATCCTGCTGTTGGATGAGGCCACCTCAGCTCTGGACTCTGCGAGTGAGGGCATAGTGCAGGCGGCTCTAGACAAGGTATGGGACCTCAGACTTATATCCAAACACCAAACAAGGTTAAGGACCTCAGACATATATTATAACACAAGACAATATATCATAAGACTACACAAAGTATAGGAACTAAGATATATATCCTAAAACAAGACAAGATATAGGACCTTGGACATATGTCATAACATTACACAAAGACCTCTGACATGTGTCATAAAATTACTCAAGGACCTTGGACATGTGTCATAACATTACACAAAGACCTCGGACATGTGTCATAACTTTAAACAAGGACCTTGGACATATGTCATAACATTACACAAGGACCTCGGACATGTGTCATAAAATTACTCAAGGACCTTGGACATGTGTCATAACATTACACAAAGACCTCGGACATGTGTCATAACATTACACAAAGACCTCGGACATATGTCATAACATTACACAAAGACCTCGGACATGTGTCATAACATAACACAAAGACCTCGGACATATATCATAACATTACACAAAGACCTCGGACATGTGTCATAACATTACACAAGGACCTCAGACATATGTCATATCATTACACAAGGACCTCGGACATATGTCATATCATTACACAAGGACCTCGGACATGTGTCATAACATTACACAAAGACCTCGGACATGTGTCATAACATTACACAAAGACCTCGGACATGTGTCATAACATTACACAAGGACCTCAGACATATGTCATATCATTACACAAGGACCTCAGACATATGTCATATCATTACACAAGGACCTCAGACATATGTCATAACATTACACAAGGTATAGGACTTCGGACATGATCATAACATAACACTGATAAGATCACTAGAATCACAAGTCAGCATATCTCACTGATCTCCCCAACAGGCCCGAGAAGGACGCACGACTATCATGGTTGCTCACCGACTATCCACAATCCAGAACGCCGACGTCATCTACGTGCTGCAGGACGGCGAGATCGTGGAACAGGGGAAACACTCCGAGCTGATGTCCCACAACGGGCCGTACTACCAGCTGGTCACTCTGCAGACCATCGCGGAGGAGGTCGATGCTGATGACAAGAAAGCATCCGGTATGGAACTGGTTTCTCCACAGCACAGTGGTCTGGGTGCTGTAGGTCACTGTGCAGAATTGTGTCCCTTTGTCATGATAGGATCTGCTGGTTGTGTTTTGAATTCCAGATTAGAAAAGTAAAAATACACTTTATCTAAAACTTTATTTAATAATTTTCTTTGAATTCCAGATTAGAAGAAGGAAAATATGCTTTATCTAAAAGTATATTCCATGCTTTTCTTCATATTCAGTTGAGAACGGCCATGTCTCTGATGGAGAACCCTTCAAACGTGTGGACTTTAAACGCCAGTCATCGAAAGCCAAGACCCCTGCAGCAGACCACCAGGTTTCCCGTCAGGTGTCAAGTCAAACATCCAAACCAAAAACAAAGGAAGAAGAGGCAGAGGTAGGTGTATGTAAAACAGGAATATAACATTTGTGATGATTTTAGAAAAAATAAGATCAAAATATTTTTGTGTGATGATTTTAGAGAAAAATAGGAAAATAATATTTGTGATGATTGTTTTGTTGAATCAGTGATCTTTTAGAATTTTCTTTGAAAGTTTTCACATGAAAGAGAATTCAGCTTTGTTTTCTCCACACTTCCATGTTTTGGATTTTTGGCAATTCCAGAGATTAAGATACTATGTGTTGATTTTGTTATATTTGAACATGATCAAGTCTTTGACCGGAGCTGATTTTCCAGGAAATGAAGACTAAGACAGTACAAGACATATGGCACAAAATTCATCTTGGGTCAAACAGACTTGCTCATAGTTCGATTATATTTTGAAGTTGTAAAGCCTGCCTTTTTAACCCATTTTAGCCATTTTAGCTGGTTGATCATGCAAGAAGTCCAGAACTTGCAGGTGTAAGAAAGAAAAGCTTGTTGTTAGCCATTGAAACATGTTTTCCATAACTTTCAAATTTAACTATTCTGCTGGGACAAATATTCCTTTACCCTTCCTTATTCTTTGTAAACTTAAGTCTTGAAATCAATGTAATAATGTTTGATTTGATGCTTTGCCTAATAAATGGGTGACAGTTCTGTTAAACATGAAGTTGGTTGGGTTTTTTAATGGCAGTATTGTAGTGTTTCTTTGATACCAAATATAGCAACACGAGTCAAATGAAGGTTTAAGACTCTGAGGCTTGCCAAGGAGTTTAAAACTTTTTTTGATGAGTGTTGATATATTTGATATGAAAAGACACAAGGGTGTGTCTGGAGTGTAAAAAGTATAGTGGCAGTGAAATTAGTGATGTCATTTGATTGTGACACCATGGTAACTGATGCATCACAATTGTCTGCAAAGCATTGTCAAATATTGACAGTAGCGATTATCATTCATTTAAGCATTGACTGTGTATTTTTTTCGGTTCATTGAGGTATGAATCGAAAAACCAATGTGCAAACTGTATGAATCCGCGTAGCGGATTCTTACAAAAGTATGCACATTGGTTTTTCGATTCATACCTCAATGAACCGAAACAAATACAGTCAATGCTTATAATTAAATTCGACAACATAAAACATGTTTTATCTACAATAGTTTAACCAAAAACAGTTGTATATATCAAAACAGACAAAAATGACGACATTGACAAACATTCCAGGTGTAGGAATACATACTGTGGCGTGCATGAATCAGGTGATTGCTTAATTTATGCACATAAATTGACACGCCTACACTGTCAGTAGCCAATCAACGGAGAGCAGGATCAAAACAATGTTCATTGGACCTGTCAGTTAAGACAAGTGGCGAAAAGAACTGCAACAGTCAGACTGTAACGAACCGGAAGAAATATGTCCGGGAGAATTTTTTTAAGGCGGCTGTTTCAAATTACATGGTCAGTTACCGCCAGATTCAAACATTACTTCCCTGATTACGGTAAAACACAGTTGGAAAAATGCTAGTTAGAAAGGAAACCCGAAGTCATGAAAGTTGAACCGAGGCGAGCAGAAACAAAAACAGGCGAGCGAGCCTGCACGTTTGCTGTTTGATTCATTCTCGGCCTTCGGTTTCAAAGGTTTGTTTGGACAATGAATATGCATGAAAGTCGCTACATGTCCTGTGCATGACGATACACGTGAGCAGAAAGGGATCCCTCGGCTGTAATATTGGGATTCCTCGACATTCCGAAGTAATAAAAGTAGTGCGCCTCGGTGGGCGTGGCTTAATTTTTTACATTCATTGGGAAATGAATGCAATAACACGTGACCAATTCAGCTAATCAGAATACAGGAATTTCAATGAACACAACGAAAATTTAATTATTTCCTGATGAACGTCAGTATGTCACGTGATTACGTTGTCAGTTGAGCGGATACATACAGAACTTCTTTAGTGGGATTCCTCAATGTCTAAAAAAACCATTAAAAATCATTTGGGAAAACTGAGAGTGACATAGATTTAGGCTATGAATGATGCAGGCTTTGAAGCCAGGCAGATCCTGTATATATCGTGTCACCGAAATGAAGAGTCCATTCGAAGCTATAACCGAGAATGCTTGACTTACCAAAAGAAATCGCTGATCTCAACACTGTCATGTATTGCTTTGGGAAATCCAACCGCGTCGCCTCAAGCGGTAATCCCCGTCATCAGCAGCCGTAGTACATGTATGTCTTAAACACACATCTAAAGTTCACAGAACGTTAATATTAATCCATTTTCAGCATCAGTCGGGTCTGGATTTTTTTCCAACCCTAACTTTACTGGGTGCAACTTTGATTTCAAGTGAATGACATTGCCGTAGCCTCCATTTTCTGCCGTTTTTAAAACCAAGGGATGTCACTCCAAATGGAATGTTTGGGACGGATGACGTCACGATGTCACGACTCTCCGCGTTCATATAGTTCGCTTTAAATAATTAAAGTTTGATGTTTAATGGATTGTTTTGTTGTGATTTATGTCTCGGTTAATATAAGGATTGAAGTTGTATTTGTTGACATTCATCAGCTGATGAAGACAGTGCCTCACCATGAAGCGCTTCACTGAGGCACTGTCTTCATCAGCTGATGCACGTCAACGAATACATCATCAATCCTTAAGCGTTATCTCCTTTGGAAGTCAGTTTTGGATGATAAATGTTATTATGTTTGGCAGGAAGAGGAAGTCACCAAGCCTGGGTTTTGTCGAATGATGCAGGAGAATTCACCTGAACTGCCTTTCATCATCATGGGGTGTATCGCTGCCTCCCTCAATGGCTGCACTATGCCACTGTTTGCCGTGTTCTTCAGTGAAATTATCAGGGTGAGTAAAATCAATTCTATAAAAATACTTTTCAGTTATAAACGATAATAATTTGTATCATATTATCAGTCTCCTTTGGGTTTTCAGTAATTGGTCTTTATTCTTTTTTTATCTCAAAACTGTTGTGTTGCATTTTCTATAAGAATATCAATATTATTTGTTTGCTTTGCTGTGTTGTTTAGGCTAAAAAAAAATAATAGTCTTGGTTCTCAGGCACCACCCGGATCATCATAAAGTCTGCCTCCCTTTTTGTTTTTATTTCCATTTTCAAAAAAATATAATAATCCTTATACTTAAACACAATGCACCAAAAAAATTGAAAATGGAAACAAAAACGAAACGTGCAATGAACTTTATGATGATGTGGGCAGTGCCTCAGAACCAAAACTATTAATTTTTTTAGCCTTAGAGTGGGAAATCAGTATTGGCAATCTTTCATTCAAAGTATGTGTGTTCCTTGTACGTGCCAGATTAGTACAAAAATTAGTAAAAAACTATGTTTTTTACTGTCATGTTTTACTGATGCGTTTAAGGGGCGGTCGGGTAGCCTAGTGGTTAAAGCGATCGCTCGTCACGCCGAAGACCCGGGTTCGATTCCCGACATGGGTACAATGTGTGAAGCCCATTTCTGGTGTCCCCCGCCGTGATATTGCTGGAATATTGCTAAAAGCGGCGTAAAACCATACTCACTAATTCACGCACTCACTACTGATGCGTTACTTTATGGGTTTTTTAAATTCATTGTTAATATATATTTGTATATTAGTAACAATATTTGGTATTTTCATATCAGGACTTTCTTTTAATGAACCTTAATACAACACTGATATGTTTGTTTCAATTGTGACCAAAAAAGTCCATTAAACAAGCAATACAATTTGTTTGGCCTTAAAGGTCCTGTAGGTTACACACAGCCAAATGTTTTCTCATAGACTTCTTTAGTTACGTTATATTTTTAAAAAAATAACTAAGCATTCAACAGCTATTACCTGTACATGTGTGCACAGTTTGGCCTTAGAGCAGCAATAAAAACATAAAAATAGGACTAGCTAAGCCAGCTCCTTATCCGAGTACAGGAAGCTGAACACACCACCCCCAGTTTCGCACCAAATGTCACCTACTTGAAAATAGCTGTGGTCACATTCAGCATAAGTCATCATGTTGAAAAAGACAGTAATAAATATAGAAAAACATGGTCAGTTTTAATAACCATATAGATGTAGATTTAAAAGACATAAAAATCTTACAGAATATCCTCCAATCACAGCCAGCAGATATCTCTCGATCTGCACTGAAGGCTTCCTACAAAAACTGCACTGTCCCAACTGGTTCTGATTTGGTGTAGTAGAACCTGTAAGGTGCTACATGTAAGTGTTAATGATATGACCCTCCACTGTCTCCAGGTGTTCGGAGAGACAGGAGACCAGCTAAAGGATGACGCTGTGTTCTGGAGCCTCATGTTCCTGGCGCTAGGTGGCGCCAACTTCCTCACAAACTCCATCCAGGTATTGCTTGATGCCACTATTAACTACATTCCAGTCACATCATAGTACAGTACATGATTTGACTTTATTCATTGTACACATATAAAGAATTATACCCTGAACATCCCTGCATTTCTCATTACCTTAAATTTACGACATCAAAATTGCCTCCATTCCAGCTATAGTGAAAAATGTATAACTCAGGATTGTTCTTATCACTGACTACCCGTGAAGATCCGGGGTAGAATAGGTCTTAAGCAACCCATTCTTGCCGTAAAAGCCGACTATGCTTGTGGTAAGAGGCGACTACCGGGATCGGGTGGTCAGGCTCGCTGACTTGGTTGAAGCATGTCATCGATCCCAATTGTGTGGATCAATGTTCATGATATCAATTCCTGGATTGTCAGGTTCAGATTTGATTATTTACAGACTGCCGTCATATAGCTGGAATATCGCTGAGTGCGGCGTAAAACAACAGGTGAGGTGAAATGGGATTTAACGTCGCATCGAAGATTATTGCACTTATATGGCGACGTGCATGTACGTGTGTGTGTTTGTGTGTGGCTGCTTGTACTAGTCCGGACTGATGCCGATTTATAGTGCTAGCACACTGAGATACCATGCCGCAGTTAAACATGAATACCCCACTCAGACACAGTATACTGACTCCGAGCCGACCAGCCCTTGTTTTGGCCCCTTAATGTCGAGCGCCAGACAGGGTAACAACAAGTACCATTTTTTAACGTCTTTTGGTATGACGCGGCTGGGGATCGAACCCCGGACCTTCCACTCTCCGGGCGGACGCTCTACCATTAGACCACGGAGGCGGTCTCGCGTAAAACAACAAACCAAACCAAAAACCTTTTACTAAAAGGGAGGCAATCTTGACTTAAGGTTAGGAGAGTTGGTGGAAGAGAGAAACAGTTGGTTGTCAAGCAATGACATCCTTTTTTGGTGTGTGTATGTGTGAGCGAGCAGAAATGTGTTTTAACCAGGTGAGCGAATAAGTGAATGATGTTTGATGCAGCAGTCAGCAATGTTTCAGCTTAATCTTATGGCAATGTGTAAAGTATCGAGTCTGGACCAGGAACACCATGAGAATTGATCCACACCATCAGCGCATGATGACGTGCAACCAGCTGAGTCACACCACCCGATCCGTTCTTGGCGTCTGTGTGGACAAGCACAGGTCACTGGGGACAGATTCTACCCTGGAATCTTCACAGGGTGTCAGCCCAAGCACACCACCCGATCCGTTCTTGGCAACTGTGATGACAAGCAGGGGTCACTGGGGACAGATTCTACCCTGGAATCTTCACAGGGTTTCAGCCCAAGCACACCACCCGATCAGTTCTTGGTGACTGTGATGACAAGCACGGGTTACTGGGGACAGATTCTACCCTGGAATCTTCACAGGGTTTCAGCCCAAGCACACCACCCGATTAGTTCTTGGTGACTGTGATGACAAGCACGGGTTACTGGGGACAGATTCTACCCTGGAATCTTCACAGGGTTTCAGCCCAAGCACACCACCCGATTAGTTCTTGGTGACTGTGATGACAAGCACGGGTTACTGGGGACAGATTCTACCCTGGAATCTTCACAGGGTTTCAGCCCAAGCACACCACCCGATTAGTTCTTGGTGACTGTGATGACAAGCACGGGTTACTGGGGACAGATTCTACCCTGGAATCTTCACAGGGTTTCAGCCCAAGCACACCACCCGATCAGTTCTTGGTGACTGTGATGACAAGCACGGGTCAATGGGGACAGATTCTACCCTGGAATCTTCACAGGGTTTCAGCCCAGTAACACCACCCGATCAGTTCTTGGTGACTGTGATGACAAGCATGGGTCACTGGGGACAGATTCTACCCTGGAATCTTCACAGGGTTTCAGCCCAGGTTACAGCTGGAACCACAGCCATTGGGAGACTAAACCGTTTTCACGAATTACAGAGTGAGTGAGTTGGGTTTAACGCCGCTTTTAACATTATTCCAGTTATATCACGGCATGTCAGCTGAATGTGGGAGGAAAGCCTGAAGTGATGCAGGTCTCAGACGTTTACTACTTTGGTGAAACCCACGAGCACGGGTATGGTGCTGACAAACCTAGAAACATAATCGGGGCGAACCGGGATTTGAACCCACAATCATAGGTTTTTGGCGTGCCCAAGGGACGCAACTCTGCACAGCAAATCGCGACGACTGGGCGTCGAATTACCCCACGAATTACAGAACAATAATTCACTTGACCATTTGTGTTCCTTTTTAGACCTATTCATTTGGCCAATCAGGCGAGAGACTGACAATGAGGCTGAGACTGAAGACATTCAAGAACATACTCCGACAGGATGTGGCTTACTTCGATGACCCCAAGCACTCGTCAGGTGCCTTGACCACAAGACTGGCCACAGATGCGTCCATGGTCAAAAATGTTAGTTATTTATGAATGCATTATTAGCTATGAAAATTTCTCAAATGACATTATAAACAATGGTTGTTGCAAATGTACAAATATGTATTACCGTATTCAACGTAATTAGCGCCCTGCTCTAATAAGTGCCCATAGCGATGTTTGCTAATATATTGGCTAGTGAACAATCCCAGTTAGCACCCCTTCCGATTCATCAATGTTCACAAGACTTATTTATTCGTGTATAATACGCCTTTGTGTGTTATATGCCCTCTTATTTATGTGAAATTAATTTCTGGAAAATATATCTGTCGTGTATGATACGCACATACTTTTGTTTTATAACATTTCAGGCTGTCAGCACAAACTACGAAATTTACGATCTTTTAACTCTGTTTTTTATTTTTCCAAAAATATTTTATAATAAGAGCCCCCTATTTCTAATTTTGAGAGCGCCCCGGGCGCTTCTTACGTCAAATACGGTATACGTTACTCATACCACATCATAATGATATATGCCCAAAATATGGCCACAGTAGCTTTGGGACTCTCTATTGCAGTGATCATTCACAACATTTCAATTTCATAAGCCCAAAGTGATGTTGAAATGCAGTAATACTACAGACATTGTGGGAAGGGACAGCATGTCAGGTTTCTTAGTGGTAACTTTCAGAAATGTAATGGGCTAAAATGATGTTTCAATATGACTGCCAAGTCAAAATTGCATTGATTTATTTAAGCTGTTGAGGTCAGTCTAACCTCACGTGCTGTTACTCTGTTGCAGGCGACAGGCATTCGTCTAGCTACCATGATTCAGTCTCTCGTGGGTCTGGCTGCCGGTCTTGTCATTGCCTTTATCTTTGGCTGGAAATTAGCTCTGGTTGTCCTGGGCGGTGTACCTGTCATGGCTTTAGCAGGTGAGTGTCCGACAGGGTCTAACAGGGGAGATATGCATCATGCTACTGTTTGCTTTGATATGAGTGTCATTTCTAAAGAACTGATGCAAATCCTTTGTCAGTACAGTCATGGATGAAAAGTCTCAAACCAATCCCTAGATATCGTTTTTTATCTGAAAACGTGAAGTTGAAATCTCAGTCAAGTGAACTAACACTTTAAGCCAGATCTTACCGGATATTATTGTTGTCAGAATAAGATCATGAAGATTACTTAGAAAATACCTGATAAATAGAACAATTCCTTTTTGAGTAACAGGATCAACATCTGACAAAGTAACTCTGCCACTTGCGAGAATATCAACTTTGTCAGGTCACATGATGAGATGAACGTGTTATCTGACAAGAAACAATCAACATCGTCTGGTCCACATAAACTACCAGGCAAAGAAACATTTAGACTAACATTTAGTCTCTGAAATCTTATATTACACAATATCCTTCTTGACTCGAAAAATAAAAAATTTTCCCTATGCTGATTTCAGAATTGTGGAATAGAGCTAGCTTGAGCTGGCTAGACTTGCTTTTGTATGCATTTCTAGATTATTATATTTTCATAAAATAAATATATTCTACGGTCATGGTGCAGGACTAAGAAACAGTATTCACTCATGTTTGATGGTGTTTAAAGTGAAACAAACAAGAAATAGTTATTCGATGGTGATGTATTTGATACAGGTATCATAGTTATGTTTGCAATTTTTTGGGGGACTGTTATAGTTTGTGGGGGCACGGGTGGCCCAGTTGTCTAAGGCTCCGCAATTCGCTGTGCAGAGTTGCGTCCCTTGGGCACGCCAGAAACCTATGATTGTGGGTTCGCATCCCGGTTCGCCCCAATTATGTTTCTAGGTTTGTCAGCACCATACCCTTGCTCGTGGGTTTCACCTAAGTGGTAAACGTCTGAGACCTGCATCACTTCGGGCTTTCCTCCCACATTCAGCTGACACGCTGTGATATAACTGGTATACTGCTAAAAGCGGCGTTAAACCCAACTCACTCACTCACTCACTGTTAAGGTTTGTAAGTCGTCAAATCAAGTTTTCAAGTGTATGCTGTCTTTTGCCTCGCAATTTTTATTGGACGTGTGTAAATACAGATGACACCCATGAAGATCCGGGGTAGAATAGGTCTTCAGCAACCCATGCTTGCCGTAAAAGGCGACTATGCTTGTGCTTGTCGTAAGAGGCAACTGTTGGGATCGGGTGGTCAGGCTCGCTGACTTGGTTGATGCATGTCATCGATCCCAATTGTGTGGACCATTGCTCATGATATCAATCACTGGATTGACTGGTCCAGGCTCGATTATTTACAGACCGCCGGCATATAGATGGAATATTGCTGTGTGTGGCGTTAAACAACAAACAAACAAACAAACAAACAATGACTTCCTGTAAGCATCATTTATCATCCAAAACTGGCTCCCACAGGAGATACCGCTTGGATGAGATCAAGCGATATCTACACTGTAGATATCGCTGCAATGAAATTACATCACAATGCTTTGCAGACCATTGTGACGTCACTGGTTACCATGACGTCACAATCAAATGACATCACTAATGGCTCTGCTACTGAAGCTGTTTGCAGTACTTTTTACACTGAAGACACTGCTAATTACTGTCTACAAATTGAAAAAGTTGAAAGAATGATGTTGGATGATAAATAAAATCTCACCCTCTTGTCTTTTGATATCAAATATATCAACACTCGTTGATAAAAGTGGCAAAAATCCTCGGCAAGCCTCGGATTTTTCCACTTTTATCAACTCGTGTTGATATATTTGATATCAAAAGACACTCGGGTGAGATTCTCTATTTATCATCCAAAACTGGCTCCCACAGGAGATATTGCTTGGATTAGATCAAGCGATATCTACACTGTAGATATCGCTGCAATGAAATTACATCACAATACTTTGCAGACCATTGTGACGTCACTGGTTACCATGACGTCACAATCAAATGACATCACTAATGGCTCTGCTACTGAAGCTGTTAGCAGTACTTTTTACACTGAAGACACTGCTAATTACTGTCTACAAATTGAAAAAGTTGAAAGGGCAAGTTCACACGGAAATGAACCTATTTTTCTTGTACTTTTTCCACATTAAAAGTGTTAACACAGAAGTGTCATAGACAAAAATATAAAAATATCACAATTAATTAACATATTTTTCGCATTAAAACTATTTTTTTTTTCACATTTACCAAGTGTTCTATTTCCACAACAAAAACACCATGGCTTATGCCCCTTGCAATATGACGTCATTGGTGCCAATTGATAAACATTATGACGTCATCATGCTTTGTTAGAGCCGCTTCACGTGGTGTAGGTCCAGGTGTGCGATTCTAGCGTCTCAGATGCCAGCCAGCATAGTGTTATGCAGAGTCACCACTGCGCCAGAGTGTGTCGTAGGCCATGTTGTTTTACCGCAAACTGGTACTTGATATCTTTTGCGTTGAGAATAGACAGGGACCCAGTTGAATTGGCACCAATTACGTCATAATCTAAGGGGGATAACTCAGGCCTGTTTAGCTCGAAAAACGAAGGCCTCATAACGGCATATCATTTTCACACTATTGTGAGCTTCCTACGTTCACTGTGATAAAAATGAGTGTATATTTTCAAACACAGATACTAATTAATTCTAAAATTGCGTTTTGTTTAGAAAAAGAAAGAAAGTGATTTTTGCGTGTACACTTCCCCTTTAAAGAATGATGTTGGATGATAAATAAAATCTCACCCGAGTGACTTTGTTATCAAATATAGCAACACTCGTTGATAAAAGTGGCAAAAATCCTCGGCAAGCCTCTGAATTGTCCACTTTTATCAACTCGTGTTGATATATTTGATTTATCATCCAAAACTGGCTCCCACAGGAGATATCGCTTGGATGAGATCAAGCGATATCTACACTGTAGATATCGCTTTTGCGATATCTGTAGATATCGCTGCAATGAAATTACATCACAATGCTTTGCAGACCATTGTGACGTCACTGGTTACCATGACGTCACAATCAAATGACATCACTAATGGCTCTGCTACTGAAGCTGTTTGCAGTACTTTTTACACTGAAGACACTGCTAATTACTGTCTACAAATTGAAAAAGTTGAAAGAATGATGTTGGATGATAAATAAAATCTCACCCTCGTGTCTTTTGATATCAAATATATCAACACTCGTTGATAAAAGTGGCAAAAATCCTCGGCAAGCCTCGGATTTTTCCACTTTTATCAACTCGTGTTGATATATTTGATATCAAAAGACACGAGGGTGAGATTCTCTATATCAAAAGACACTCTGGTGAGATTCTCTATATATCACTACTTCTCCAGGTGCTGCCCAGATGAAGGCTGTCACTGGAAACCAGAAGCGGGACTCAGAACTTCTGGAGGATGCTGGAAAGGTATATTTTTCCATCACCATACTTGATATAATCAGCAACTTTGAAATGTTTAAATATCGTAGTGTCACAGGCATAGGACCATCTGCCACCATTAGACCCCATGGTATAAAGGATCTATACCAAAACGTCGCCGTTTTTACAGTATTAAAGAAGTTGTTATCCATAAATTGTGTCTACTTTGTCATCTGTCAACTTCTTAGTAATGCCAATCAAACAATTAATTACGGTGAAGCTTTTCTTCAATTTAAAAGAAATTACCATTTAGTGTTGACTTGTTTATTAATAACTATTTGAGAACAAAGGAAAACTGAAGTCCCGTGATGAATCCGGGTTAGAATTGGTCTCCAGCAACCCTTGCTTGTCGTAAGAGGTAACTAACGGGATCAGGTGGTCAGGCTCGCTGTCTTGGTTGTTGCATGTCATCGTATCCCAAAGGCCTGGGTCGATGTTCAGGATGACAATCACTGGATTGTCTGGTCCAGACTCGATTATTTACAGACCAGGAATATTGCTGAGTATGGCGTTAAACAACAAACGAACCAAACAAAAATTGGGGGCATGGTATGGGCAACTTATAACTTGATCATGTTTTTTCCATTTGTTCAGTTAAAAATGGTATTTCGTGTTTTGTATCATGGTTGATATTTATTTCTAGAAAATATAGAACAAATTAAATGTAGCTCACTATATAATAAAGAAGTAAAACTGAGAATTGTTTTAATCTAGACTGCTGCTGAAGCCATAGAGAATGTCCGGACGGTGCAGTCACTTACCAGGGAGAAGCATTTCTATGACCAGTATTGTGCTGACATTCTCAAACCCTACAAGTGAGTTCAGGAAACATACATCTCCAAGCTCTAGAATTCATGGGTGTGTGGGTGCACAGGTGGCCCAGTCGTCTGAGGCTCCGCAATTCCCTGTGCAGAGTTGCGTCCCTTTTGCCCGCCAGGAACCTATGATTGTATCATTTCCGACTTTCCTCCACACTATACGCTGTGATATAACTGGAATACTGTTAAAAGCAGTGTTACACCCAAATCATTCATTCACTCACTTTTCCATACATTTGATCCTTTCTCCAAGCCCTGAGTGAAAGAGTTTGGTTTAATGCTGCTTTTATACAGTATTCCAGTTATATCACGGCGTGTCAGCTTAATGTGGGAGGAAAGCCCGAAGTGATGCGGGTCTTAGACGTTTAGCACTTTGTTTAAACCCACGAGCACGGGTATGGTGCTGACAAACCTAGAAACATAATCGGGGCGAACCGCAATTCGAACCCACAATCATAGGTTTCTGGCGTGCCCAAGTGACTCCAAGCCCTGAAGTGGTGACAGTGAAGAATATGTCTCCAGGTTTCTGTGAAAAAGGACTAGGGTGCTGTTGTACAAAACATCCTTAGCGCTTTGACTGTCGTAAGTCTATGTTAAGGTATGGTAGTAACGATCACCTTAGCGCTACGACTGTCGTAAGTCTGTGTTAAGTTATGGTAGTAACGATCACCTTAGTGCTATGACTGTCGTAAGTCTGTGTTAAGGTATGGTAGTAACGATCACCTTAGTGCTACGACTGTCGTAAGTCTGTGTTAAGGTATGGTAGTAATGATCACCTTAGCGCTACGACTGTTGTAAGTCTGTGTTAAGTTATGGTAGTAACGATCACCTTAGCGCTACGACTGTCGTAAGTCTGTGTTAAGGTATGGTAGTAACGATCACCTTAGCGCTACGACTGTCGTAAGTCTGTGTTAAGGTATGGTAGTAACGATCACCTTAGCGCTAAGGGAGGGCACGGGTGGCCCAGTGGTCTAAGGCGCCGCGATTCGCTGTGCAGATCGAGTTGCATCTCTTGGGCACGCCAGAAATCTATGACTGTGGGGCCGAATTCCAGTTCACCCCAATTATGTTTCTAGGTTTGTCAACACCATAACCGTGCTCACCGGGTTTCACCAAAGAGGTAAACGTCTGAGACCTGCATCACTTTGGGCTTTCCCCAAACATTAAGCCATGATATAACTTGAATAATATTAAAAGCGGCGTTAAACCCAACTCACTCACACTTAGCGCTAAGATCGCTATGTACAATGGCACCCAGGTGTTTAGGCTCTGTGACTGACTGCCAGTCATCATGCCTCTATAACCTGGATCATTTTTTCAGACTGCAGACTTTAATAACATTCTCTCACTGACCAACTCACTCACTCTTTCACAGGGAGAACATGAAGCAGGCCCATATTTATGGCATCTCCTTTGGCTTCTCACAAGGCGTTGTGTTTTTGCTGTACGCCGGAGCGTTCCGGTTCGGGGCCTACCTCGTCTCCATCGGCGACATGGAAGCAAATTCTGTGTACAGGTCAGACTTCTCTTTCTGTTTATGTTTCTGGTTTCTGAAATTTATTTTGACTACTTCTTCCAAAATGATCTATTTAGCTCACCTGACTGACAGTCAAGTGGGCTTGTGTCCACCCTCCGTCCATCTGTCGGTCCAGTTGTCTGTTTGTCATTTAGCATTTTTGACAACTCCTCTAACTACTAGGCCTATGGAGCTGAAACTTTGTATGTATGATCCCAGCTATGGAGACGCTAAAACGTGCTCATAGATTTCCAATCCAATTTTAAACATGGCCAATATGACGGTCAGCATTTCTGCTAATTTGACTTGTATGTCAGTTACCTCTTGGCTCGTCAAAGCCAAAACAGCCATTGCTTCGGACGTAAGGCAAGGTCTAGGGACCAACAGGTCAGTTTGATGTGATGACCGACTTAAAGCTTCATGACCGTATAACACCTGGTAACCCCAACACTCACCTTTGCAATGGAAAGAGCTTCGTCTGTGTTCTTTCCTGATACTGCTTGATTGATGAAGCAGATATTGGCAAGCAGGTTCCTTCTGATGAAGACATCACATCTTGTTGATATCCTTGTGCTTTTTGTGGGTTTTTAAATATTTATGCCCATGCTTCTCATCAGAGGTGACCAATGAGATTGAATGGTCAGGCTCACTGAATCGGTTAATGCATGTCATCCTATCCCACTTGCGTAGATCGATGCTTAGGATGCGAAGCACTGGATTGTCTGGCCCAAACTCAGTTACTTACAGGCTGCCGTCAGTTAGCTAGAATATTGACGAGTCTGGCAATAAACAACACACAAATAAGTGAGACAGTAAGTAAAGAAAAGTGTTTGTTTGGCATGATATCCCAAATGTATGCAGAGCATGACTTGATAGTTTATCAATCTAATTTGACCTGAACACCGCAGTGAAATTTCTAATTTTCAAAGTGATTTTGTCGTTTAGTATATTATGTCTATTTCAGGTACTACATTGTGACATCATTGTCCATATTTGTCATTTGATGCGTTTTGGTTTCCACATAACATACCTCCTCTGTTCCCTTATACATTACATGCGCCACACACATAACATTTGACAATCATGACATTTGACCCATAATGGTGAAGCACCACATGACTAGAATGGCATTAGGTTAGAATAGCTGGAAATATTTACTTAAATTCAATGATGGATGCAAAATTGTATATTTGTGAACATAGAGCGGCCATGTTGTACATAGAGTGGCCATCTTGTACATAGTGCGGCCATCTTGTACATAGAGCAGCCATCTTGTACATAGAGCAGCCATCTTGTGCATAGAGCTGCCATCTTGAACATAGAGCTGCATTCTTATACATAGCGCTGCCATCTTGTACATAGAGCTGCCATCTTGTGCATACAGGTCCTAGTACACAATATTGAGTATAATTCAGGTATTATTTGCAATATCAGGCCCATTGTTTTGCAGCTGTTATTAATAGCACTGTCATTGCTTTCTGGCAATTTCATCGCAATCCTAAAAATAACCCAACTTATACTGAGTTCAATTTAAAGGGGCACTGATCTAAAGCAATTCCCCGGGACTGGTTGTTGCCTTTGTTGTTGTTTCTCCCCCGTGATTACTCGGATGATATAGCAGAATACTGGACTAGTCACTTTCATTGATAGTATAAGGGTCACATTGATCAACAAAATGAAATACAGTTTTGGAAAAAATTAGGAAATGTAGGTATCTTTGTGGGTAGCATCGGTAATGGTGATGAAGTTTTGATAAGTCACATGCTTGGTAATTGTGCGATTTTCCCTTACACTGTTTTGACTTGCAACACAAAGAAAATATTTCACCTGAGCATAGCATATTTTATCGTGTTTATATTTTTACAGTCAAAATGTGGAAAATGTTCACTCAGGAAATTTATTAAACGCCAAAATATTCAGTTATTTTACAATTTGACTGAAAATATGTTCATCTGTATTATTATGATTACGAATTCCAAACACTTTTATGTTTAATATCATCACCAAGTGACTGAAAATGTTAGAATTAAAAGTACATTTGTATATTGTTTGGCTTCTAATCCTAGCATAATTAATCTAGTGTGATGTTTTTGAGTTAATCACATTGTACACATTGACTGTAACATATATGCGCTTACAAAGGAAAAGACTTGTGAAAACAACGTCTATCGCGCATCAAAGAACTTCCCAACCAAGACGTAGAGGAACAAGAATGATTCTGTTCAATGCTACAGTAAATGTATGAAAGCAAAATGCAAATATCATAATTACAACCTACCAAAGTTATATGTATAATTTTAGGCAGCTTCCTTGTTTGTTCGAGGTATGTATCCGTGAATATCCACATAAAGGAACAATATCCCACACATCTGCAGCTGTACAAAGAGACTTTTTCGATGTCTCGTGTCTCTGTTACAATCAAATATTTAAAATATATATAGTGTTTCGGGATATTATAACCTGTGTTCATTTCTCAACTGATCACTTAGTTTGTTTCAGTTGTTATCCCCCCGGCATATAATGTGGGGGGATATAGCGATCAGCCAGTCTGTCTGTCCGTCCGTCCGTCTGTCTGTCCGTAATCATTTCCTTTTCCGGGGCAGAATTCGAAAACCATTCAGTGTATTTGATTGAAACTTGGCAAATCTATCAGGCACATACTGAAGTGGTGCCTTTTGATATTTATTTTTGTCCCCCGCCGCGCGAAAGCGCGAAGCGGGGGATATAGTATTCACGACCGTCCGTACGTACGTCCGTACGTCCCACCTGTTTGTTGCCGCGATATCTCAAGAACTAAACACTGGATTGTCTTCATATTTGGAACTATGGTGTATATACAAATTCCGCAGACACCAGTCGGTTTTGGTGACCTTGACCCCATTTTCAAGGTCACAGCAGGCAAATCTGCTTTTGGAGTTGGAAAACGGTGTTGCCGCGATATATCTCAGGAAAAAATCGCTGGATTGTCTTCATATTTGGAACTATGGTGTATATACAGACTCCGCAGACACCAGTCCGTTTTGTTGACCTTGATCCCATTTTCAAGGTCACAGCAGGCAAATCTGCTTTTGGAGTTGGAAAACGGTGTTGCCGCGATATCTCAAGAACTAAACACTGGATTGTCTTCATATTTGGAACTATGGTGTATATACAGACACCGCAGACACCAGTCGGTTTTGGTGACCTTGACCCCATTTTCAAGGTCACAGCAGGCAAATCTGCTTTTGGAGTTAGAAAACTGTGTTGCCCCGATATCTCAAGAACTAATTGCTGGATTGTCTTCATATTTGGAACTATGGTGTATATACAGGCGGGGGACATTTCGTCACTTTGTGACAAATACTTGTTTTACGAATTTTTATTTTTTACAATTTTTATGGCCAGAATACGAAAACCATTCAGTGGGTAAACAATGTATGCTTCTTAAAGAACATTCAACTGTTGACTCATTACATAGAGAATTGCACATTTACTAGTGGTTACTTTACAGACAGCTGCCGGGGGGATATGTCATCTTTCTAATGACTCTTGTTTCACATAGGTGTCAAGTCTCAAAGGTCAGCTGAGAAAGCCCATGTGACAACTATTTTCATAATGTCCATGGTTCTTAAAAAAATCCATTGAGTTAAGAGTCCACACTTCAGGGTCTGCTAAATACTCTTGATGACTTGTGTCCCTGGGTTGGCTGTAGTGTTGATCACTCTAAGCAGTGTATCTTGGAAGGAACTCCAATCCATCATGAAGCAAAGGATAATCCAACACATTTGTTTCTGATATTTTATTCATGATGAAGCTTGATTCACCTATGATAGCATTCAGCCATGATCCAAAATACATTCTCATCAGTAACAGAAATGTGTACTAACGTTCACAAGTATTACCCATAATGCCTAACTAGTGCCAAATTTGATAGTACTTTCCAGACAACAAATCTTAACTTTGAGCTATGTCTTTAAAAGAAATAGCTAAATTTGACATAGTTATGTGTAAGAATTGATTATTTCAAAAATAAACAAACCAGACAGGTGATGATTAAGCTGAGTTATCAATCATAACAAAATCACAATTTTTATGATTTTTACAATATTTGTAAGTTTCCAACTGGAATTTCAAACAATGATTTTATCATCAAGATCATGTGAAATATTGAATTTGATCAGACTTTTATCACAATGATGTGTAGTTCCCTTTAAATACAAGGATCGTAATCCTCTAAAAAAAACAATGATCCAGACAGAATAAATTAATTATTTGCTTGTCAGACCCCAAATGTCTATTCCACAGAAATGCTTCCAACATTCTGGTCTTTTTATTTTGTCTTAAGAAAACTCCATTTGTTGTTTCATGATGAGAAAAACACTCGAAATATGGCAATCAGACAAACAAATACTTACTTTGTTACTGTTTGGTTAACAGAAAGGAAACAAACTCAATGCTGCGCCATTATTCATTACAGGATAACAACCACTAAAATAATGAAATCATTCAAACGATTGAAGTAATAAATATACACTGAGCTGCACTCAAAGTTAAATAAAAACTCATATTTCTTCTCCAACATAAGTTATAACATATATATTAATAATCAACCATACTAAGTCTCACTATGTGATTAATTGTTTTATAATATTGTCTGAAATAGATGACATAGAGAGAAAGTGAATAGTTTGATATTTTGAAAAAACACTTTCAGGTCAGAAAGGCAAGGATAATTATGAATCTATTTCAAGGAACAGCTGGGACTGGCTTTTGGGGAAAACATGTTACATATAACAGATGCTAGCAATATTTGTCCCCAAAATCAAGAGAACAATTTCTTTACTGAATAACTATTGGTTTCAAATTCACTCAAGATGTTCAAGTATGGATCCAAAGAAGTGTTGCCTCCCTTTACACAGATGGCAAAGTAACCAGATTAGAGTTGCCTCCCTTAACACATATATCAATGAAGCTCCTTTCCAACGCCTGACACCTTCGTTTGTAACATCCCTTCCACCAGTGTGGGTTCGGCCATTACAAGAATCTTGAAATTTGACCTCAAACCCCAAATGTTGTAAGGTTCATACTTTTGTTTATGTCCTTAGGAATGCCATCATCATTCATTTTGAAAAGGTCTACGACTGACCATGTTTTCAAGATGAATTTACTTTGTGGTTTGTATAATCAGTTGGGTCGAGATTGCAGACTAATGGAATATCAGCCAACTTCTCCCATATATTCTTACCATATAAATTACATCATAGTTGTAATGAAACAGAAATTCAAATTGACAAAGAAAGAAAGTAATTTAGCTGGGTTAAGTGTATTCGGCGTCATGACAATCGTCACTTTTTGTAACAGGACGGTCATTCGGTTGCTAGTTCAACTCTAGGCATGGCTGTGGTCATCTATCACTGTGGGGAGTTGACTGGTGGCAGCGATACTATAGAGAGCTCCGCAAACGGGTTATCGCTGTGAAGAGCTTGAGATATCAATGTTGTAACAGAGTTGCCTCCCTTTAGATATAAGTGTCAGCTGGACAGTGCTCATGTGTAGTTGAAACAAAAAACAATATATCGTGTATAAAACACACTCGTGTGTTATATGCTCCCTTAATCATGGGCAATTAAATTCTGGAAAATACATCTGTCGTATATAATACGCACAGACTGTTCTTTTGTATCATTTCAGGCTGTCAGCATAAACCACAAAATTTACGATCTTTCAACTCTGTTTTTTTTTCTCACCGAAAATATATTCCAAAAAGAGCCCCCTATTTCTAATTTTGAGAGCGCCCTTGACGCTTATTACATCGAATATGGTACTTCTCATAATGTCCTGGGTCAGAGATTGTTGGACAGACAATCTGGCAATGAATTTAGAATCCAAATAACGAACAAACTGTTATCTTTGAAAATTTAGCTTTGAGGAAACATGGCATCATCTCTCAATTAACGGGGCGGTCGGGTAGCCAAGTGGTTAAAGCGTCACGCCGAAGACCCGGGTTCGATTCCCAACATGGGTACAATGTGTGAAGCCCATTTCTGGTGTCCCCCGCCGTGATATTGCTGAAATATTGCTAAAAGTGGCGTAAAACCATACTCACTCACTCACTCTCAATTAACAAATATTTCAGAAAATATTACACCATGAAATTGAAACAACATCATGTTAATCCTGTGAGGGTGTGGTGACGTGTCCAGTCTTTGTATTACCTTTCATGGGGAGTGTCAACAAATCTCAGCATCAAACCATCAGCACCACATGTAATCGTGTCACCAAAATATAGTAAAGGCTGGCTCATTTCTGTTCTTAGTTCACAGATCGGCCCAAACAAAACATCACAAATATGGTCGAGTTTTCAAAAAATTTCCTGTTTAAAAATTGCTCCTCAAACAGAGAGATAAGACTTTGAGAAACAAATCTGCAAACTAAGTGATAAAAATGACCTATTATTAACAGAACACTATCCATATTATGTCATGCATTGTTTATTATGTAATTCAACTAAAAGAATAGTCAGGTTCACATGTTCTATACCATAACCTATTGTTCACCATTTGTTAAAAAATATTTAAGAGATCAAAACAAAACATCACAGGATATAACTCACTTAACTCATTGTTGATGATTCAAATTCACGTCAAAGTGAATTGTGTGATTTTCCGAATCTCACAAACCAGAAACCTTATGAAGCAAATATTTCCATAACAGAGTTTCTTTTAAAACCAAATGCTCTCATTGTAGATTAAATACCAAATCTGAATTGTAATCAGAAAAGTTATTAACACTGAAACACTGTGTCCAAACTTTGCTTATGCATCTTGGCATAACTGCCTTGATTCTGAAGCGTAGCTAGATATCATATGAGAAAATGGAAGTTGAAACAGCAGTCATTCGTAACATAATTACATTTTCAGCATTTGTTTCTTTGATCATTCATACCTACGACTTGAACCTCATATCATCATTCACGTCACAATAGTTGTCCATTTTGCTCCCGAATACAACAGACTGAAGGCACATTTCTTGCTTGCTTAGGAAAATAACATTTAAGAAATTAACATTCTATTCCTTTAAATAGCTCATACATGGGTAGAGAGAAAAAATACTAAAAATTTCACACACCAAAAAGTGTACATATAAGATATGAACCAAAACAATCGTTATATTTGGAAAGGTCAGCTTACTGTGATAAATACGGTATGATGTATGTTAAATAACACCCCATTATGACTGTGAAATATCTTCAGATTTAAATATATCTTTTAGCTATATAATTTCAAACTTTATAAGTCATATTACTCTGAGGACAAATCTGACCACAATACAAATATCACACTGAATATTATTTCACAGTCTCAAGAATGAATTTTGGAATTAAAAATGAGATGGTCCTCAAGTTTGTGAAATGAAAGTTTCAATGAATGCTTCAATGCTGGATATTATATTTTATGAAAGCAAAACATGAAAATGCCCACTTTGTGTGACTGTTACATGAAGTTACATACAGACTTTACCATATTTGATCTACCAGGTGTCATCCCTCCCATAAACATGACACATGAGATATGTGGCCATGTCTGTATGCTTATATCAACTTGTTTGTTACAATTTCAAAATCTCTTAAAGAAAAACCGAAAGAAAATGTTTTCATAGTTTATACTTAGACCTTTCACCTGCCAAAAGGCAATACTGATCTTATTTTTCAATAATAGACCTGCTTACCCTTAGTTTTCGCACTGAAAAAGAAACATCAAATTAAAATATAAATTTGAAAATCTTATTAGCACCTGTTGATTTTAGATGGGTTTTTTTTTAAACTTTAGTTCAAAGAGTTTTATTCTCAAGGAAAATGACCTCAAATTGATCCTGTTATATTTATTTTCATGTTACTCTTTAGCCGAAATTGCACACTTACCAAGAAAGAAAACCGGTCTTTCCCCAGCATATAATGTTTAAGAATTGCAGTTGTGCTTAATAGATCAAACAATGTAATTTCATCACAACAGCTATACTGGTGTAAGCACAACGTTACTGTGATAAGGATAGCAACACTACATCACACAGAGGCCAGTGAGGTTTTGAGTTGCGTTCTGTGTTGTGTCTTTGGGAAGACATGCTTTGCATCATGAAACACAATCGGAAATCTTAATTCGTTTAAAAGAGAGAACTCTGACTAGATTAAACTCAGTCTTGTGGAAATCAGTACATGTTCTGTTTACCAGACCAAGTGTCACTCGGTTTATCAGGGGAAAATCAGTTTTGTGGAAATTAGTATATCGTCTGTTAATATAAGACAACATTTCACTGGGTTTATCTGGCAGAGAAGAACTAGAGTTTGTTGAATTTGATGATTTATCACTTCTTTAAAACCTCATTATAATACAAAACTCATTATCATCTACAAAGAAGTTGTTCATCCATACTTCTTATCCTTACTTCGTACTCCAACTTCTAAATGCTTCTCAAAGAAGTCATCTGCATCATCTCATTTTTATATTCTTATTATAATTTTTCATTATCACAGTAATATTATAGATTTAAGCTCACATATTTACAACGCTGATTTGGAGTCTCTTTGTCTAATAACTAAAATGTGTAAATTTAGCACTGAAGTTTAAAGGAAAAATGCTTATTCTGCAAATAATCGGAAAAGTATTATCACAGGGTCAATGCTTTAAGTAGTTAATTATCACCTATATCCATAGTAGAGGTGCGTTTGGATATTTAAAATTGATAAATAGTGTAAATTGAGCACACCATGAAACAGTATCATTTTGGTAATTTATTTATTGAACCAGTGTGTATATCTATCACAAAAATATCACAATATTTTAATGGTTTCACCCAATCTGCCATTTTGTCATTCAAACTACTCATTAAAGATTTTCTAATTATTCTCTCAGCTTGTCCACTTAACATCTGAAAAAACCCAGAAGGCATCACACTACTTTTCTTCTTTGAACGTTAACACTACCAACGTTTCGTCTGCAATATTCGTAAAATATTATTGAGGTGCTTCATGAGCAGGTGAAATGTACGATGCAAACATCATATGTCAGTGTGCATAAACTTGATCTAAATACTTCACATTTCTGCATAAATGCATAAACTCCTCAAAAACTAGGAAACATTTTCACATTCACCGCAATCACAAATTTTTGTACACTACAGATAATCTCGAAACCTAGCAACAGACTTTCCATCTGAGGTTGTCCATTACCATGGCAACACAGCACTATAAGTTTCATACAGGAAATGACGAAGGTGAGAACTGCAGCGAGTTGACATCAGTGGAAGGACAGTCCAAGAATGCTGTACAAGCTGGTCTCTGTAATATACACATCTACAACTGCAGTGCACAACACATCTTCCAGGACCAAGAGCGTCCACTTGCCTTTTTATCAAAGACTTGTTTCCACCCTTGCCACATCAAACCCACTCCCCTGTAGGTAATATGATTGGACTATCGTGCATATCGACAGCCCAAACAGAACGTTTCACAAAATCAACATCCACGACTGGTACACCTTTGAATGAAGGTTATTTATCGCTGCCTGCCTTTGAATATGTGTTTTCCATCTTTTAAACCCCTCAACGATTGCCTATGTTTTTGTGTCAGGGATCAAAACGCGAATATTTTCATTATCTTATCGACTAGGTCGTCGCCTTCGGTTGTCTCCATCTTTGTGAAGCTCTTCAAGATAACAGCGATCTGGATATCCATTTTATTTGATTGGATTTTGCATTTTCATTACAAGGGGCACAACTCCCGATCTACGCGAGGTGGCGCCAAGGTTGAGCCAAGAAAAGTGGCCTTGATGTGGCAAGGGTAGAAACTAGGCTTTGATATAGGCTTGTGGACACACTTGCCTCGGGAAGATGTGTACGAGATGGCCACTGTCGTATATATATCCCAGACAGAAATGAACAAACAATGAGCACAGCACTCAGTGCTCGGTGAAACAACTGTATGAGGATCCGTTATGAATGCTAAAAGAATTGATATTGACTGATTGGAGCACCACTGTTGTAGTCCATCGAATTGAGCTAGATTCTACATTGTTATTGATGCTAATTTATACATGTAATGACAACCGCCGAAAAACACAAGGCAAAAACCACACATATATATTTTACATTTCACATCACACAAACAGGTGAACCCATCAAGTGTCAGTCTTGTGGTACCATAACCTGGAACCATGTAGGAATTTGTCGATTAATAACCGATGCATTTGGTGTGTCTTTCATTGCAACAGGACCAACGGATTGCGAAATGATGCACATTTCAAACATCTTGATTGAGAACATATATTTTCTCCTCGAAAAACACAAGAAACTGGTCAATTTTGCATGTCAGCATGTGTGATATATTGCAAGTCAGCGTGATTATAGTCAACGATTTTAATGATCATGAAACTTTGTGCTGTGGGTGATCAATCACGTGATGTGTATTCAATGCGTCTCTGATATGTAGATAAACCCAACAGTTAGTTTGTCACACGCCAGATCATATTTTGTATTTGTTCTTCTCCTTGTCTTCTGGAAACGTTGAACTAGTGTCGTAAAACGTGAGATGTGCTCCGAGTTGGTTCTGTAGTGGAAATATTGAAGTATGGATGTGTAATTGCATATGGCCGCCATTCACTGCCACAAATTAAACATCACGTAAGCTCTTGTGTCGCTTCATCAAACTGGTTGTCCTCGATAGTAATTGCAAGGTCAAGGTCGAGCACGTCCAGTCGTTCAATGGTCCCATTAGCCATGAGAATAGAATGTAGTTTCTGCTGTAGCTTGCCGCCAGTGTAGTCTTCATGAAGGTTCGAGACTTGGTCTAGCGTCATGCAAATATTGAAAACAGTAATTCCTTGGTTATCGCTGAAAATCTGCAAGATGAGTGTCCCTCGATCCTGTTCGAAATATTTTATGCAGCTGTTTTTCAAATCTCTGTCAAACAGCCCATAAAACTCACTCGATTTTTCCTCGTAATGCTTACCATCGTGTTTCCATTTTTCACACATGACGGAATTTGACGAGGCATGTCGTTTTGGACTTGATTTGTGTGAGTAACGTTTTAGTTCGACCAATTCCAACTGATCGTTATATCTCATTATTACGGGGTCCATATTTTCCTTGTTGTCGTGATCTCGTTTCGAATGTGTTCGCTGATCATTAACACTGTTCTTGTATTCTGTCCGTGAGTCCTTCAGGGGACTGTTGGTCCGTGAGTGGGAATTCCCGTTAAGTGCCTTGTCACTTGGATTGGTCAAACCAGAGTTACTTCCCTTTGAGGGGGAGTTCATTTTCTGTTTGGTGGGACTTAATGGTCTGGGGTTAAGTTTCTCTCGTGATGGGGACTGTGAATTCTGGGAACCTTTACCAGGTCCCCCCTTCTCGATATATTTCTTTTCCTTGATCGTTTTTCGACGACTACGGAACATAGGAAAGCACATGCACCAACACGATTTCTTGGGTTTGATGGATTCATCCTCTTCTTCTTCATCCTTAGCATAAGGATAATCCACGATGCGGATTGGTTTTGGTGTGGGCTGTTCTTCTGGATCCAGCATCAGCATGTTGTCATACGACTTGTGGAGTCGTCGGGGGGTCATCTTAACATCATAGATCTCCCTGGTTCGAGATCGTTTGTCTGGTGTTTCTTCATTGGGTACAAGAACCTTAACAGACTTGACCTGAATTTTGACCATGACTTGACCTTTGTGTCTCTGTTTCTCCCAGTAACCTGTAAATTGAAAATAAAATAAAATGAATAATAAATAAAATCAAGATAGTAGTAATAGTTACCATGGTTACGTTTTAATTAATATCTTATGAATATACTACATTCTAATTTATATTTAACATGTTTAATTAATCCATTTTATATATCAAGTACACCTTGCTAAATGAAACTACATGAATATCAATGAAAACAAATGTAGCCCAAAGATCCGGGAGAAATCTCAGTCCAATATCATCACTCTGTCTTTAAGTACAGACAAATATCACATTTGATAATCCTTGGAACTTCACATTGACATTGTGAAAGGATTTATGTGCTGAAGCATTACTTCTTTTTACAGCATCAGCTCATGAGTTCCACTGGGCACAATACCTGTTCCATAGATAAAGATAACATACCTGTTCCGTAGATAGGCTTAATCCTTTGGGATGTATCAAGAGTGCTGGCCAGGTGAAGTTGTCCCGACTGCCGCAGCGCGTTGATGAAGAGCGCCACCGCATTGTTCCCTGTGCCTTCAAGATGCTGTAGCAGGGCAGTGTTCCGTTCCTTGGTCGTCTTTTCATTACAAATCCCATCAATGGCTGTCTTGTCCAAGACGCCATGTTGGAGGAGGTAGTCGAAAATGGGCTCTGTGTCCAGTGACTCGAGCAGGTCCTCGCGATTCAGGAGCTGCTCCTTAAGCATGTTGACAGTACATGCATGACCTGCAACAAGATGAAGGTCATGTTACGAAAGTAGGTCAAGGAAGAATATGTCACAGGTTACAGCCAGGTTAGGGTCATTAAAGGGGGTGGTCGGGTAGCCTAGTGGTTAAAGCGTAGCTCGTCACGCCGGAGGCCCGGGTTCGATTCCCGACATGGGTACAAAGTGTGAAGCCCATTTCTGGTGTCACCCATCATGATATTGCTGGAATATTGCTAAAAAAAGCGGCGTAAAACCGAACTCACTCACTCACTTAAGGTCATTAAAGCACAGACGTTCCTGAACTTTGAAGAAATGTAGGTCAAGTAGAGTCACCAATACAGACGACATGATTATGTCAAAATAAAAATGAAAAAACCTGATGACATTGCTAAATTTGTCCTGGCCAATATTCACTGTCACACATAAACATGTAGGTCAAGGTCATAACAAATTGATTTTAATCACCAGGTTAGTTTTTCCATTCAAATGGTTTTGATGTATCAATTCAACAGTTTCATTGAGCGCTTTCATGTAGCTTGACTATTGATAGTGGTGTTGAAAACAGACCTCCACTAACTCACAAGTTAATTGTCAAGTAACACATGGTGATTTATTGAGGGAGAAACTTGCAACAGTGCTATGTCAGTTTTGACTGGTCTTTCTGGGGTGACTCGAATAAGATTGGTTGGTTTGTTGTTTATCGCCGCACTTAGCAATATTCCTGCTATATGACCTCGGTCTGTAAATAATCGATCTGGACCAGACAGTCCAGTGATTGACATCATGAGCATCGATCCACACAATTGGGATCGATGACATGCATCAACCAAGTCAGCGAGCATGACCACCCGATCCCGTTAGTCACCTTTTACGACAAGCATAGTCACTTTTTACGGCAAGCATGGGTTGCTGAAGACCTATTCTAACCCGGAATCTTCACGGGTCGACTCGAATAAGAACATCAGCAAATACATGTATCACCCAAACGTTGTTGTATTATTCTATAAACTGAGTCTGGCAAGCTACTTCACAGCGAACCTGGTGAGAGATTGCCCTGCTGGGATTGTTTAGTAGTTGTTGAGAAAAACCATCATAGTTTTCACTTCATTTTTCATTCCACTTCATGCAAACTTTATGTTCTCAACTGGTTCAAGACGATCAGTCCAGCCTGGCATCAGACAAGATGAGCTATTGATCTTTCAATATTCCACAGTGCAACTGTCAATACAGTCTCCCTGTTGCAGTTCAAACCTGCACATGCTATCACTAAAACTCCCGGTTCACCAATTAAAAGGAGGAGGCTCGAAGCAACTCTTGAATTTCATCCTCATATTGCCTTGTTGGGTGTTAGTCAGAGATCGTGGGAATGGGGAGGGAATTCTCATGAATTGCTTGGGGATAAAACATACATAAATGTTTTTATCCAATTTGGGTTTGGGTGTAAAACGTAAAATATTATTTTTGAACCCAATTGGAATTATTACATGATAATTCTTTACATCCATTTTTAAAGTAATGCTGATAATTTGGTGATCGTTTAACAAATTCAGATCTTGAACATCCGAACGTTATCACATCTGAAGCATGGCATAATTTCTACTTGAGTTGAAATACTGTCATGGGAATGGCTCATCACTGCTCATGGCGTGTTTATTTTATTGATCTATTTATTTTAAATTTTCTTTCATCAATGTTTAAGTGTGTAATAAAGAAACGTTTCTGCTTGTCAAAATATAACAATATTTCAAGTTTTACGAATGAATTAACATTCATAAACTTTCATTTTCTTCAAAGAAATTACCACAGAATAATAATAATTTAATTCCAGGAAGAATCATCACCCAATGTGTCTCTTATAAGAGTCAGATGCATAATTGTCTTGCAGTGTCTAAAGTAGGCAGTTCAAATATTCAGGGGTGGTCGGGTAGCCTAGTGGTTAAAGCGTTCGCTCGTCACGCCAAAGACCCAGGTTCGATTCCCGACATGGGTACAATGTGTGAAGCCCATTTCTGATGACCCCGCCTTGATATTGCTGGAATATTGCTAAAAGCGGCGTAAAACCATACTCACTCACTCAAATATTCAGTGACTGAGTAGGTAGGGAGCCACAAAGAACAGAAACTAGAACATATAGTTGAAATTAATTCATCACAAATCTACATGTATTTCTTAAAACTATAATTACAAACTCCTTCATATTTTGTTTCCAGTGACCCAAATGTCAGTGAAGTAGAAAGAAAAAAGCAAGCATGAAAAACAATAAAGAATAAGTAAAGAAAAGAAAATTCAAGAAAGAATTCGTAAATAAGACAGTTAAAAAATGACACCTGAGTCATGCCAGTTGTCTATTTCAAAATAAACACATTCACACAGTGTTCAATTCTTGACGTGTCATGGGAAACGCAACAGCCTGCGTACCTGGAGGGCACAGTTCATAGGTATAAACTGTATAAGTTATACTGTATAAGTACCTTCCACCTTGCCTGGCTTTGTGAAACAGCTGACAGGGTTGATCATGCGGGACCAAGATCTTTTTATAATCCACATGTAATGTACACAAAGGTACATACATTTCAGTGACAAGCTGAACATGTCTTTATACTCATGTAGATATCTGATCTCCTGCAATGCATGGCCAGACAGCAGAGAAACTATTTGATAAAAATCTTTTAAATATCCTCACAATGTTCCATACAGTTCTGTGACAAGTGACATTTTAATAATTATATTGTATATATGTCTTCTATTGCATGGCCTGATGGCAGAGAAAATATATCGTTCATTGAAATCTGTTTCGTGTACATTGCTGTAAGTGTTGATCTCACATGAGGTCACCGTATTGGAGGTGTGGTTGACACAGAAATGGTTCAACTGTCACATGTTTTGCCTCCACTTATTGAGAGTGTTTACTGTTTACTATAAATCTAAAATGTGACAGGTTTAATGAGCCTTGGGCTGTATTCATCACAATTTAAAAAAAAAAAAGCAGTTATGTTGAATCAGTTAGCACATTGTCGTAATGCTATTTTTCAAATGTATTCATATTTTGTAATAAAATCAGTTTTGGGTATTGTACAAATCATTCAAATATCCATTTCAAGTTCACGCCATGACACCAAACATTTTCTGATGAAATGGATAAGAATAATCATCAGAAAATGATACAATGTTGAAAATGCTCTTGTATATTTTTACCTTTCAATTGTGTGATGTTTTACCTTAGAGTTATGTTTTTTTCAACCAAAATAATGTCAAAATCAATACATCCTTTTGTTAAGTATTTCTAACAAAAACCATCATGTTTTGAGAGACTGAAAATGATTTATCAAACTATCAAATAATAACATTATCACTTTATAACTAACTTACTGAATATGTTTTTGTTCACTAAAACACCTGTTTAGTTAGAAGCCTCTATGGAAATTGTATCAATAAGCTGTCGTCAGGAAACTTCAACATTCTACATATCATCTTGACAAGGAAGTAAACATATCTTGATTTTTAGGCTCAGGGTGAATTCTTTCCTTGAGGAAAGGACATGTCATACAATTGACATGATAACTACATGATAACATTATTTATTTTAAGAAGGTCTTTAGTTGACCAAACAAAGTTATCTCTGTTGGTTTTGAAACCATGAGCAATTTCAATGTGCAAGTAGGGGAAAAGCCATTTTGCATAATATAGAATTATCACTGAAATAATACAAAGCCATGACATCTTAGAAATCGTTTACAATGACATGTATTATATACAATACCAACTATGTTTTCAGTTTTGAAAGTACTATACAGGTTGTTATACACATTTTCTACACCCTAAAGTTTGAAACATTGTTAAACTTTGAAAATACTTGCCTCCACTGCTGTATGTAGGCATGTCTGATGTGTGGTGAATATGTCAAGTGCTATAAACATAATATAACCTCTCTGGCTGTCAATCATGCTGTTCAATAATCAATGTCCCTTATGACACATTGGCTGTTGAACACTGTTATAACAACACATTGATAATGACACCTTGGGTGTTGAAGGCTGGTAAAACAACAGCCCCCAGTCCTGAAGGCTGTTAATTAAGTACAAACAACAACAGTGATTGTTGTTTGTATTGAAAAAGAATTATAGTTATTGTCTTGAAATGGAAGTCTTAATGAAATTAGATTTGGACATACATGAACTAATGTCATTGACAAAATCAATAGCATTGATTGACAGCGTAACTGAATACATTTCAGTCATTCCTTCAGAAATGAATACATGAATTTTGGATTTACCTGGAACTACTTAGCATATATCCACAGCAGTGTGAACCTGACAAGGGCGAGGGAGACAACTTTCCCCACCAGCTGTCACAGACCAGGCAAACTGTGTGTGTGTGTGTCGTGGCCCAGTCACTTGTAATCATCACGTGGGTATGACTAGCGCGCTATGACAGCCTACCTGTTAAATCAGCAACTGCCTACCTGTGAAATTGATGTCTGGTGAACGACAGACAATTTCTTACCTGGCTTTCGTTATCGGTGTTTGATAGGAAGCTGACAATACTGCAATTGATTACACCTGATAGGTGTCCTGGTTTAATTCATAACCTGAGACAGGTGACAGTTGGATGTCGTCATTGAAATGGACAACTAATTGATTAGCCAGAAGGTGTCATGATCATTATGGGGAATTTGATAATTGTTTGATGATATAATCAAATAAAATACCATCATGACTTTACCTAGAGAATGGTTTGTTTGGTTGAGCCCGGGCAAGTATTCTTGTTATTTTTGATAATGGTTTGATGATATAATCCAAATAGAATACCATCATGACTTATCAGTCGAGGATGGTTTGTTTGGTTGAGCCCAGGAAAATATTCTTGTTATTTTTGATAATGGTTTGATGATATAATCAAATAGAATACCATCATGACTTATCAGTCGAGGATGGTTTGTTTGGATGAGCCCAGGAAAATATTCTTGTTATTTTTGATACATTTGTGAAGTGAAACATCACAAACGCTCACCTTCTATTTT